GGGTATGTATGTATGTATATATATATATTTATATATATATATATATATATATATATATATATATATATATATATATATATATATATATATATATATATATATGTATGTATGTATATATATATATATATATATATATATATATATATATATATATATATATATATATATATATATATATATATATATATATATATATATATATATATATATATGATGTAATTGTATAGGTAACACTACTTTCGTTGCTTTACGATTCCATGGTGACACAGTTTGTTTTTTTTTACAGTGGCAGACGCCACCCGACCCCCAGCCACCCATCTTTAGCACAAAGGTGAACGCGGTGCAAAGTATTCTACCGCCCATTTCTACAATTAAAAATTAAACAAAGTTTATTGTCTTCCCCTGTCTCAAATTGTAAGCTGGTCATGAAAATAATTAATGGCGCGTCAAAAATGTGAATGAGCATCACTTGGATGGCAAATTTGGACCAGCGTTTTGTGTTTTATTTAATCTCTTTTTTTTTTAATAAAAAAAGACATCTTGTTTTTATAGTGCTCTCCCCTTGTCAGCTGTTTGGCCGGCCCCTCTCTGATAAATGAACCGTCACGCACCGGCTTAAAAAATCCTGTAGTTTAGCAGTCCATCTGTCCCTGTTCAAAGTACTTCAATAGCAGAAAATGCTTACCCGACACAGGTCTCCGGCGCTGAAGTAGCTACACACTTACGTCCCTTTATTCGCCGACCTGTGTTATGTCCATTGCAACGCTCTATAAGGTTTCTATAGAATAATTGTTTTTCTTCGATCCTTTTTTTTTTTTTTTTTTTTGGGTTAATGCACTAGGTCTAGAGAAGTCACTCAAACGTCTGAATATCAACTTCAGTGTTCCCCGATAAGTTGCCCCCGATGAAGGCTGAGAGTTTAGACAGCCTTTGGGGTTCAACCATGCGGGCCACTAGCTTTGAACGAGAAACAAATAGCACCAGAGGACGATAAGATTTACGTGAGGTTTGGGAACAGGCTTAAGGTCTGGCATTATCATTTGTAACATCTTTGATCAAACGCTCATAGGAAGATGTGGCGGGAAACGTTAGGAATGTATATATATATATATATATATATATATATATATATATATATATATATATATCTATATATATCTATATATATATATATATATATATATATATATATATATATATATATATATATATATATATATATATATATATATATATATATATATATATAATCTACTTTTAGTTCCATATATATATATATATATATATATATATATATATATATATATATATATATATATATATATATATATATATATAATTGAACCAAGTCTATGCACATGTTACAACATATGAATTCGGATACTTTACTCCCCCTCTCCCCCGCCCGCATTTACACCATGCTAGGCCACTGCCTACTGTGTGAGACATCAAATCCTGATTTATAAGCTAGAAGATTGATGCCATCTACTTGAAGCGAATAACCACCATCAGAGTTTCTTCCGGGCATCTCTTCGAGGGGGGGGGGGGGGCAAGCCACCCCGAACCCCCCCCCCCTGAACGAAATGAAATGTATATAATTTATATAGAAAATATATACTTTTAACAGTGTCCGCCCCCCCCCCCCCCCCGAAAATTTCAAGTGCTCCTCGGAACAAATAAATTAGAGCACCGGTTACACTTAATCATTCTATCTAAGACTTGGCCCTAAAATAAGAAAATTAATCTTTTAAATGTGTGGGTCTAGCTATATCTCGAATAATCAAATTTAAAATTACAAATAAAAGTACACAGTACGTCATTAGATATTAGTATTACAGTTATAAGTGTATAACAGGTCGAGATAAATGTTTGGATAAAGGGTTCTTCGCGCCTACCACCCCATTTCCATACAGGCCTTTACAATGAAGCGTTACTATAATTCATCTCACAAGATGTTGCAAACGGTAGAAGAATATTGCCTACTGTCTAATTACGAGGGATTTTCAAGCTCAAAGCTAGGCTAATCAAGTCGAGATGGAAGACTTGTGCTATTTTCTTAAACTGGATAGGCCAACAACTTATCGTGTACCCATGAAACGTAATCTTAAAATCTAACAGTTAAAAATTATCACCATAACCGGAAACTTTCTGTAATATGATGACGTCAGTGATAAGAACCACTACTCTCTTTAAAAAATGGCGACCTCCATAGGAAGACAGAAACTGGGTTCCATTATTCTTAACCATAAGAACTCAATGCAGTGTTTATGTATGCAACACATTCTTGTTAAAATATTTAACAATCCATAGTTACTTAAAATATGTAGCAAAATACATTCAAACAGTTTAGGCTAATCAATAGATTCTACTGTAACTAGAGGACGATATTTCGAGTCCTCCCTTTGAAATGAATCCCGGTCAGAACGTCGGACGTCCTCTGGCAAAAAATCATTAAAATGTCTGGCATCCTCATCCATCTCTCTAGTTCAGTGTCTAGAGCAAGACAAGCTAGGCCCTATTGAGGCCTAGTATGGTTACATAACAACTAAAATGCTTGTGCTAACCACAGATCACTTCGAAAACTGATGTCACAGAAATTAGTTAGTGGCATTTATTTAAATTTATCTCTGATTTAAAAAAAAATATCTCAAAACCATTATATCTCCGCGAAAAGAAGCTTTTATCTCAGACCAAACCATTCATTTTGTTGAAAGAAATGCATTAGTTTGATATAGAGCGTTGGAATGGGCATGTGCAATACATAATAAAATGGGCGATTCTGGCCGGAAAAAGATTCGCATGCGTATTTTGATGGTATTGCGCAGGCGTATGTTTACAAACAAACCGAGGAACCCTGTCCCTAAACCCTGCCCTAACCGTAACCCTAACCTAGCGCAGCTATCAAGGTCACTGTGCATGCACAGAACTATTGATTTTTTTATTTTCTGCCAAAAACTTTTTTTTCCCCAAGTAGTCACTTCATACTAAAATACCTTTAAATATATTAAAAGTGACAAAAGTCAAAACTCAATTGAAAGACAATGTGAATTACAGATTGAATCTTTTAAATATACATTCAATTTCTTGTAAACTAGATCTTTCTCAACTGCAATTAGTTATAAGTTGGTGCAAAAGAAATGTGATGACTACTATTTTTAATTACTTTAAAAACATTGGTATCAATTTTTAAATGTTGGAATTTTATTTTATTTTAAAAATTAATTAATTTTTCATCAGTTTGTCGCACTTTGCTGAGTGAAGCAGACACAAAACTGGATCGTTTTCTCAGGCAAAGATTATTTCGTATTGATGTTCTTGGTACAGCAGGAAAAGGCAGGGCATGTTTTTCATATCAATTATTTGTAAAAGTATTAAAAGCTTAATCATTTAAAATTTCTGAATGATAATTTATTTCAACAACCTTTTTAAATTTGTGTCTATACCAAAACTTTTTCACTTATGTTTATAATATTTTTGGAATTATTGTATATTGTTTTAGTAATTTTATGTATAATTCAGTTTTCAATGTCATTTAAGAGTGAAAATTAAGGAATGCAAAAGTGGTACATATGAAGTAACATTTCTAATCATGTTTTCTAATCTCTTAAATTTATAGCATCTTTAGTAGAAAAATTGAATAAAATTCAAACTCCAGCAGAAGCCAAAGTCGCTACATATGACATTGTAGACTTGATACATGTAGCTGAGTCTAAAACAGATATACTGTTAATAGAGAAGCTAACTGAATTTATCAGGTGAATTATCAAAATAATTTTTTTTAATTGTTTGTATTTTACTTCTACTTTCACTTTGATTTTACGTAGCTATTATGTAATGTGTGGTTTTAAATAATTAATTTTTTGAAAAAATCTATCCCAACAATTGTATTAATTTTTCCCACGTTTTCTTTAACTTGCTTTCGTCTCTGTTTGTTTGTCTTTCCAATCAAATCTTGCGATCGAAATTTCTGGCACTTCCCAGTTAGCTAGCGCGCTGAAATTTTCCGGGAAGCTTTGTTTTGGATGACAATAGAATATTCAATTGTTATTATTACTAAATTGATCCATGGAAACATTTTATTGAGCATTTTAGAGCGCTATATAATTGTAGTAAAAACGTGGGGAAAAAGGGACATAACCCAGTAACTGTAATTTGATGAAAACAAGGTTCGGTACTCTCCCTGTTTCTGCTTACTGAGTAGTGTTCACGCTGTGTTGAACAAACACTGGTGGCCAGTATGGGGGAGACGATATGGTCGAGTGGTTGGGCACACGATTGCTATCCTACTCGACACGGGTTCAAATCTATGTGTTCTAGTCAGTAACGTATTCGCACAACGTGTTTTGTACGAGTTGTCTTCCTTTACCCAAAAAAAAAGTGAAAAGATAAAATCGATAGCAAGATTTTAATGCAAACAAACAGACAAAGACTAAAAAGTAGAAAATAATAATCATTAAAAAAGTTTTTAAAAACCCACGTTTTCTGATTGAACTAAAAAGTAGAAAATAAATGCTATACATCACAATAATGCAAGCGATCACTCTACTATAAGCGATCAAAAACGTGGGGCGCCGTGATTTTCTTACAGTTTCTAATACTGTTGACTCTCTACAAGCTCCCTAATAAAAGTCAATAGTAGTATCTAATCAATAGTAAGATAACTTTTACTTCGGCGCCCCACATTTTTGATCGCTTATAGTAGAGTGATCGCTTGCATTATTGTGATGTATAGCATTTATTTTCTACTTTTTAGTTCAATCAGAAAACGTGGGTTTTTAAAAACTTTTTTAATGATTATTATTAAATATTTATAATTGAGGTATTTTACAGCATGTTTTAAATACTTTGTATGTTTTCTTGTTCTTTCATGTTACCAGTCAGTCAGATGTTGTAGATATAGAAAATATACACTTGGGAGCATCTGTCTTGAGGCTGTACAGTTATCTTGGTTTACCTACTGAAGCTTATGCTCTATACAAAAACTCTGTAAGTATACATTGTAGAGTTTGTTCTGTTAAAGCATTGCCTTGCATGAGTTTCTGCAATTAATTTTTCTTATTTTGAACAGGATTAGAAAAAATGTTTACATCAAAACTGCACTCAGAATGTATAGGTTCACTTTAGAGAATCCAAAAATAAATTTCAGCCTCTGACATTTAGAAGTTTACTGTCTCGGGGAAAAGTATGATTACAATTTCCTTACGGCCAGGTGAAAAGATGACATATTTTCAACAACATCACTTTGAAAAAAAAAACTATTATAAAATATTTTTAAACGTCTAAAAATAATAAAGCAACATACAGAAAAATGGTTCACGTTTATTTTAAATGAATTGTAAATAGCTTAAAAGTTTACCAATAACAAAAAAATAACAATAACTCCAGAAAAACTAAAATGAAATTTTACTTCTAATATTAATTCAGTAAAAAATATTTATTTTTAATGCTAGAAAAAAATTCACTGAAGACACTGAAATTGCTTTCTTTTTCAATATCACTGTATTAGTTGCATTATAAGTAAAGCTGGATTCAACGGCAAAGGCAATTTAATTAATTTTAGTTGCACTAATATATTGCCCGTAATTCTGGAAAAAAGAATTTGTAACTTTTAAAAAATCATAGACAATGGACCTCTAGTGTTAGAACAAGAAAGTTATGTGAATAAAACTAGTTATTTTTTGCTTGTGCCAGTTTCTTCAAAATGTTATCGACTAGACTTTTATTACTATATGTAAATAAATGTACTATACATAGTTTGGGTTAAAGACCAAAACTTTTTTAAAAAATTTGCTGCACTGTTTTATTAAATACAAAACTATAAATAATAACATTAATTTTTCACAGCATGTATTTTAAAAAAAAACGCAAGCATTTTAGCTAAAATATTTAAAAGTATAACCCAGAAATTCATACATCTTTAAGATGAAAATGTTATTAATCATTTTTCAGCTGTGTTCAAAGTTTTTTGATGACATCACAAGTCATAAAATATTGATGGATTTCCTTTTCAAGTCCAAACAGTATGAGCGAGTGCTTGATGTGTATTCTGGCCTGAAATCTTTTAATATAGACTGTGTCACTCTAGCAATGGCCTCTTATTATCATATTGTAAGGACAAACAGATTTTTTTTATATTTTATGAGGTGTTTTAGCAATAACCACTAAATACTATGCTAGGCAGTAAAATTTTCAAACGTAACTAAATATATAAAATTTCAGGTATATGAAATTTCAGAATTCTACAGAGAGCCATGCTGCCTGTTATAAACTGGCCCATAACCTGATGCAAGAACATAATTTGCCTCGGAGAGCTTTGTTGTATGCTGCTATGCTAGCAATAAACCAAGTATGTTATTTACCAACATTTTTAAAACTCTGAATTTGATTAATGTTATTTTCAAATGTCTCATTGTTTTGAAATAAAGTTTAGGGTATAAAATTGGGACAGTGTGGTTGAATGTTAGAGTGCTAATCTAGAAGTCTCGAGTTTGGTTTATGGACTCGAATCTGTAGGTGTCCACCAGGCATTGATGGGTACCTGACTCATAATGTTAGGGAATATAAAGGTGGCTTCGCATAGTGCTGGCCATACAATTCCTTCATCGGCCTAGGTCACTGAAACAGGTAAACTCCACTTCACCTGCCCCATGTACTTTACTTTTTTTTTAAATAAAAGGCAAAGTTTTATTGCTCTTATGAACTATATTTATTATGATTCACTTAACTTTTCACAATGAAATTTTACAATACTCCATATAAAATCATTTTTTAGTTAAACAAAAACAATTTTTTAAAATTAAGATGATCTTTTATTACCTTTAATTAATAAACCAAACTTTGACATTTATTGTTTTTTTTTTTAGAACAAGCCTAAAGATGCTTTAAAAATATTAGAGCGCTGTAAAGAATATATAGTTATTTTAAACATGAAAGTAAGTAATATTACATTAATTTTAGTGTTTTTTTTTTAGAATGTGTCAGTACGTGTTTTCACAAATTTAGAGTTGAATTTCATTTGAATTATTTACCTAGAAATATTTAAGTGTATTTAGCTAAAAATCTTATGTATGAAAACATTTCAACACTTATTAGTTATTTTTAAGTTACCTTGACCCTACAACTTGATTAAACAAATCAGTGTTAAAAATAAAACAAAATGCCCCATTGTTTTCTTACATTTTTATAATATTTCTTTTGAAAAAAAAAACAATTGAAATAGTAACTAAATGAAAAACAAAACAATTAGTTGAATGTAATATATTTTCAGTTGATTTGTTATGCCAAGTTGAAAAATTTTACTGCTCTTTTGAATACTCTGGAATATATAAATAAAAAATCAGATGATGTGACTCAACCTTTAAGCATGAGACTTTATGTTGATACAGTAAGTGTATTTAACATTTGTTTTTATCGTACATTTTTTTATGAGAAGTAGTACAATTTACATTCAGTATTTATAATAATGATTTGATTCTGAGCATTGAAATTCAACTTAATTATATTTTATAAATGCTTTCCGAATACAAAGTTTTGGGAGATGGTAACAGGCATTGTGAGGGACTGGGTGAAGTGTGGTGGTGGTTTTCCACAGGTAGCCATGAAGGCCAACAGTTCTATCCTGAAACACCTGACCAACAAGTGATAACACTTGATAAAACACTTGATTACAGCAAACTCAGTTCATGAAGATGCCTTCTTGGAAGGCAAGCATGATTGTGGCTGGTGAATGCCATTTGGAAGCCAGCAAATTGAAATAAAGAGAGATGGTGTAGACTGGGTTTTCATGGCTTGAGTTTAAAAAAGTTGCTACAATTTGTGTTCATTGGCTTGTCTCAGCCCTATGCCCCTCGGGGAGTGGAAAGGAATAATTATGACAAGAATATGTGTTATAGCTACTACATACTTCTGATAAGGGCTAGCTACCATCTAATTTCACATTTACCCGTACTATTTTCTTTGAAGAGTGAACTGATAATTATTTTGTGTTATTATATATGTGTTATTATCTAGTTATATGTTGTACAGTAGCACATCTTTCCCTTACTAAATATGATCTTGTATTCAATAATGTTTAAATATTGACCCCATGTTGTGTAAATTAAAATATCTCCTGGTCTTTCTCAGATGAATGAGATGCAGGCAGCTTTCACGGAAAACAGTACACAGGAGGAGTTGAAGACTTTCTCTAAACTTCTTGAAGACTTGAAACCTAAAGGTGTTTTCAGCAAACAAAGCGTTACCATTTTTCTTGATAGAACTATCCCAGGAGATGTTGGGTACGCAAAAGAAAGTGGCAAACTTAAAGTAGTTAGAAATTTAATTAATTACTAAAATCTACTTTGTACATAAAAATCATTGAATTGTAAATTTAGTGAAAAAATACTGATAGTACTTGAAAGAGATTTGATTTCCTCAATAACTTAAAATGAGTTGAGACTTAAAATAAATATGTAACATATTAAAGTTTGTAATATTAAATTAGTTTTCAGAAGGTAGACCTAGCTAGTACACAATTTAAATGTAAATAATATTTTCCTGATTAACCACAGCCAGTGCTTACTTATGAATGTCTAATCTAGAATTGTATTGTAATGTTCAGGTACAACTTGACCTTTTAAATTTTCATAAAAAGTAATTTTTTTAGTTTTATAATTTTCTGGCAAGCATTAAAAAACTTTATAAATTCTAAGTCTTTCCTTGTTAAAAATGAATAAAAAAAACTTAAATTCATTTTATATTTAATGGTAAAAATAATTCAATTTTAATTATTAAGGAACATTATAGTACCAATTTTCCATCACCTTGTTTTAGCCTTTTTTGCACAAATAATTTACAGTACAGTCTTGTATTTTGTGACGTTAAAAATATGCTAATATGTGCTACCTTCTTTCTTCCTGACTTTTTCACTTGCTCATTTGTTGTTAACTAATAATTGCAGTTAATCAGATAATGGAACCACAGCATTTCTGTTAAGAAAAATGCATAACAAAAAGAAACAAATTAGCAAAGGAAAACAATGAGAGGAAGTTTAATTGTTGTTTAACTAACACTTGTCTGTGAGCTTTTACAGGCTATTATTCAGGGCAATCTATTACAGTTTTTTTGTTTCAATAGAAACATGGGTCATTTTGTATTTTGTTGTAATTAGTATGAAAATTCCATAATAATTAGAGGTCATTTTTTATATTTTTTGTGACTGAATAAAAAAGGACAATGTTTTTAAAATTTGAATTTGTTTCTTCTTAAACATTTGTTTATGTCTTAGTGTTAATGTTAAGTATTGATGTTTAATTATGTTTCTAATCATAACAAGACACATTCTGATGTTTTTTTTACCTATTGTTTTGTTTCTTCTATCCTTTTTAATGTACATTAAGTTGAGGTAGTTTTAATTACTCCAATAACCATGGAGTAATGTTCATTACTAGTAAAAGAAAACAGCAGACCAAATGTCAGGGATGTGTCTGAGCTTATACGAGTGAAGCTGGAATAAATCAGTGGTCCCCATGTAGCTATAAACAGGAGGCTCCAGTGTCAATAGACGGAAGACAGGTAAATGATGTGCAAGAGTTTGTCTACCTTGGCAGCAAGATCAGCAAAACGGGAGGCACAGAGGAGGACATACGCGCTAGAGTTAATAAAGCCCGCTGTGCTTTCACAGTCCTGCGACCCATATGGAAAAGTTCGGCCATCTCCATTACCACAAAAATTAGGATATTTAACTCTAATGTCAAGGCAGTTCTGCTGTATGGAGCAGAGACATGGAGAGTCTCCAAGGCAAGCACAGCAAAGATACAGACCTTCATGAATAGATGCCTTAGACAGATACTGAAGCTGAGATGGCAGGACAAAGTGCCGAACTTGGAACTATGGAGGAAAGCTAGGCAGGAGCCTATAGGTGTGCAAGTAAGAAGGAGGAAGTGGCGCTGGGTGGGTCACACACTGCGAAAGGCTCACACAAATGTTACACGCCAAGCGCTTGAGTGGAACCCCCAGGGAAAGCGGAAGAGAGGGCGCCCAAGACAGACCTGGAGGCGGAGTCTTCTTGAAGAACTGAAGCCAATAGGGATGTCTTGGGAGATGTCAAAATTAATAGCCGAGGATAGGAAGAAATGGAAGGAAATGGTGGAGGCCCTATGCTCCATAAGGAGCAAAGAGGACTAACTAACTAACTAACTAACTAATGTAGCTAGTTTTTTTATCATTGCTTGGATAGTCTGTGGTAAAGGCGTAATATCTTGGTACTCTCTTTGAGCTTATGATGTTTTGTGTCTCTGCATTTGAAGCTTAATATAATGGCATTTTCCATGAGCTCATGATGTATTGTGTGCCGTGTGTACATAGATATTTTGGCATCTCTATAAACTCAAGATGTATTTTTGCAAAGATGTGTACTTAGATATCTTGGCACCATGAGCTCATGATGTGCTATTTTCCTCATATGTAGCTAAATATCTTACCATCTTTTATGAGCTACTGATGCATTGTGTGCCAACATTTGTTATAGTTAGATATCTTGGCCACCATCTATACACTCATGGTGTGTTTTGGATCAGATTGTGACACATGCCTCAGAAGCTTATTAATATTAAAGAAGTGCTGGTCAGTCTTAATTAATCAAATTAAAACTATGTCCACCTGAGAATATTGGCTACAATTCTATACCCATTGAACTGATTTGAAATGTTGAACCATTTTGTGTGAATCTGCTCAAGACAGCAATTTATTTTATTCATGGTGGTACATTGATAGTTAGTGCAAGTTAAAACACCTAAGGTATCTTTAATTAATACATTTTTTTTTTCTTTCTGAATTATTGGGGAGGTCTACACTGTACACCCTTCACACATCCTCACATTTTGAAGAAAGAAAATTTTATCATAACACTAACCCTGGATCTTTAATTAACAAAACATAATTGTGTTTGACGAGCGGCCTAAAAGTATTATAAAAAGCCTAGTAAAAAAAGTGAACTCGACTATTTATGAAAGTAGCAAACAAGTGGTGCCTAATTATAATTATTTTTAAAAAAAGTTCAGCTGCAACCACTGCAAATTTAAGATATAAGATTTAGACTAGCTGAAAACAACACATTTAAAAGGCACATGTGACTCAAGGGTCGTCCATCTTTGACATGACACTTTTTAGGTTTTAATGCTTTATCACAGTTTCCCAGCTCTGATCAGAGTTTCTTCCAGGCATCTCTTTGGGGTGGGGGGGGGGGGGGTGTCTGTCCCGTCCCGTCCCCTCCGCCCCCCCCCCCCGAACGAAATGGAATTTATAAAGAAAATATATACTTTTACCAGTGTCCGTCCCTCCCCCCCCCCCCCCCATCGGAGAAAAAAGGCTGGGAGAAACACTAGATCTGATGGATACCTGGTTCACATTTTAGGGAAAGTAAAGGGGACTGTGCATTGTGCTGACCTCTTTATCCCTTCATAGGCATAGGTCACATAAATAGGGTTATCCATTGATGACGACAGGATTTTAAATTTTTTTTTACCTCTCCACAATCGCACATCGTCACAAAGAGCCGGACTCCTACTTCCTTCCTAAAAATAACACCACGCCTCAGCTATGATCCTATTAGAGTTTATTTTTTAAAACAATTGTTGGTATTTCTTCATGTCACTGTGCAAAAATCAGGCTTTGATAGAGAAAAAAAATGCACAATGACAATTTCATTTTGGGTTCGGGGTCCCCTTTTACTTGTAACATTTCCTGGGCCTCATGGACACACCCAGTTGACCCCAACCTACAATATGGGGCTGTTGATAAGTTTTTATCGAACTATTTGGCCCAGGCTATTTTCAATAGCAACTTTCAATTTATCTGAATTCCAGTATACAAAAAAAAAAAAAAAAAAAAGCACGAAATGACGGCTAAAATTCAGTTTGAATTATTACGTTTCAAAGCGCATAAGCATGTCGATGTTACGGTCAAAGCCCGAAGTGCGGCCAAACCCCGGATTGGCCGGCCAATGCGCGGATTGGCCGGCTCTCTTGGCCAAAGCCCGAAGAACTTAGAACTAAGATCGTATTTCGTACATTGGCCGGCCAATGCGCGCACTGGCCGGGATGTCCTGGCCAATGTTCTATCTAGACTAAGTTGTGATCGCGTTTTCATTATTCTGGGTGCGTTTTCATTGTGAGTAACGTATTGTTTAGCTCTTGTTTGTATAGTATTCTATATGCAAGGCGACATGGATCAAAAGGGCCGTCAGACCATGAGACAGACATGTTTGGATGCAAAGCAAAAGTGGGACTTAGCACTTCAAATCTACCAAGAGAGGCTCTCAATAAAATTATTACTGAGGAAGATCTTGAGAACATTGAACAAGAAATGGAGGTTGCCATAAATGCAACTACATCTTCAGCTAGCACATATGCTGCCGTGGCGGAACGCCCAGACCAGTTGCGTGACAATAATGTGGCCAACAGATTCTGTATAGTTTGTGAAAAACATTGTAGTGCAGCTCATTCTTGTGGATCCTGTGGCAAAGATGTCCATGCTATTTGTGGAGTACCAAATGAAGCAGACGAATGGTACGGAGGGAACATTACCTGCAGATTGTGTCACAACAAACAAGACATTATGGAACACGGGTCAGCAGCTCATACTGGCTTGCAAAATCAAGGTGCTAAGATGCTTAAAACATCTAATACAAAATTTAAAGATGGTGAAGTGGGTGACAATGTACGCATCCGTGTTCCAGATGTTGACAGAGGTCGCGGTGATCCCCGAAGCGTGATTGCAGTTGTCATGAGCGTCGAGGGCGGTTTCTACAAATTAGGAACGGAACATGGTGTTCTAAAACAACTGTATGCTAGAAGTGAGTTTTCAATTCTTCACGAAAAACTGCTCTTATTGTCGTCAGTTGGCACTGAGGAAAAATCACTACGAACCATCGCATCTTCACAATCATTGACTGGGGGCCAAGGCTACACTCGCTGCAATTGCACAACCAAGTGCACAACAAATCGCTGCAAGTGTAAAAATGAAAAGCTGCTATCTATCTATCTATATACTACTAAAAGTCAAGTTTGTTTACATGTTTGAATATTTATTTTTTTGTTTGTTTTTTTGTTTGTTTGTTTGTTTGCCTGATCGACTATTGTGATATGTTTGACTCTATCTGGAGAGCTGTAAAATAGTATGTAGGTAGAGAATAATTTTTTAATGCAGACAGACTGTTAATCACAAATTTATTTAAGGACGTTAACTAATTTATTGATTTATTCATAGTTAAATTAACCGTATTTTTTTAAAAATGTTAATACTTTGAATAAACTTTGTGGGGATAGTGACGTCCCTTGTTGTGTTTACTTTTTTGTACAATAAAAATGGCGGACTCCATCATAGACTTTGTGGCCCATTCAAAAGTTTAACGCGTTACAAAGCTAATTTTCTGCCGGCTATAACTTAAACAATACGTCCGTTTGCTGTATTTATTACGTTCCAACACTTATATCAATTTTCAACTATCTTTTTCATTTAGTTTTACGATAAATTTCTCTAGATCTATAGACCAGCTATCGAAGGAAAGTTATGAATCTAGCCTAGATCTAGAATCTAGATCTAGCCTAGATGTGGGTCACTAGACTCAATGTAAATTCTAGATCTAGACTTAATGTAAATTCTACATCTAGAATCTATTTCAGGCCTTAATTATTTTATATAAATCTTTGTTTGGCTAATTTAAGATAAAATTTAATTTGAAAGTTAGTACTACTAGACTTAGATCTAGATCTTGGTAAATCAAGTTGCATAAGGAGACACATAGTATAGTATAAAAATTCACTTGTGACGTCACGAGTAAATAGCTAAAATGGTAGCGTAGTCGGCTCTCATGTAGTTGGCACGGATTCTAGACCAATTTGTCAATGAAATTTTTTTTTTCAATTTTTTTTTAGATGTGAATGATAAGGTTGCCTATCTGAACTTGGCAAGATACAGGGCAGGTGAAGTAGAGTTCATCTGTTTCTTTGTCCTAAGCATATGAAAGGATAGTGTGATCAGAGACATGCTCGGCTGGAATAATTTTTTAAACGATAAATACATGTTGTCTGAGACTTGGCGGGACACTGGGCAGGTGAAGTAGAGTTGAGTAGGTCACATGTGACGTCAGTATATGAAGGGATAGTCCGAAATCGGTGTTTTCGGTGTTTTTAAAAGATAAAAAACATATTTTTGAATGTGGGGTCTGTTTTTTTGTGACGATAAGTGACACTGCAGTAGCGTACCGAGGAGGGGGGGGGGACGGTAGGGGAGGGGAGGCGGGGGGGGGGGGGGGGGGCGGGACGGGAGGCGGGGGGGGGGGGGGGAATGGGAGGCGAGTGGGGGTGGAGGGGGGGCGAGGGGGGGACATATGTTGGGGCGCCAAAATGGTTTGGAAAAATAAATTGATAGGTTGAGGGGGGTTCAAATCGAAAGTTTGAGTGGGGGGGGGGTGCACATCAAAAGTTTGAGGGGGGGGGGGGGTTCAAATCGAAAACTTTGTCCCCGGGCGCCGGGAAGGTTCGCTATGCCTCTGAGTGACAGACGTGATGTTTTTTGATGGATGACCCCCGAAACCCACAGTTATCCAACGGATGACGGGTATTCTAGTATACTACTAAAAGTCAAGTTTGTTTACATGTTTGAATATTTATTTGTTTGCCTGATCGAAAATTGTGATATGTTCGACTCTACCTGGAAAGCTGTAAAATGGTATGCAGGTAGAGAATAATTTTTTAATGCAGACAGACTGTTGATCTCAAATTTATTTAAAGACGTTAATTAATTTATTGATTTATTCCTACGCAGAATAACCCATTTTTTTTTAAAATGTTAAAACCTTGACTAAACTTTGTGGGAATAGTGACGTCACAGGTTTTTGTTTACTCTTTAGTACAATAAAATGGCGGCGTCTATTGAAGAAAATTGTGTTCCCATTCAAAAGTTTAACGCGTTCTAAATCTAATTTTCTGTCGGTCATAACTTTAACAATACGTCCGTTTGCTGTATTTATTACGTCCCAACACTTATATCAATTTTCAACTGTCTTTTTCATTTAGTTTTACGATAAATTTCTCTAGATCTAAAGATCAGCTATCGAAGGAAATTTATGAATCTAGCCTAGATCTAGATCTAGCCTAGATGTAGGTCACTAGATTCAATGTAAATTCTACATCTAGAATCTATTTCAGGCCTTAATTTTCTTTATATAAATCTTTGTTTGGCTTATTTAAGATAAAATTTAATTTGAAAGTTAGTACTACTAGACTTATTTTTAGATCTAGATCTAGAATCTATACGCGTAAATCAAGTTGCATAAGGAGACACATAGTATAGTATAAAAATTCACTTGTGACGTCACGAGTAAATAGCTAAAATGGTAGCGTAGTCAGCTCTCATGCAGGAGGCACGGGTTCTAGACCAATATGTCAATGAAATTTTTTTTTTCAATTTTTTTTTTTAGATGTGAATGATAACGTTGCCTATCTGAACTTGGCAAGATACAGGGCAGGTGAAGTAGAGTTCATCTGTTTCTTTGTCCTAAGCATATGAAAGGATAGTGTGGTCAGATACATGCTCGGCTGGAATTGTTTTTTAAACGATAAAAACATGTTGTCTGGCAGGACACTGGGCAGGTGAAGTAGAGTTGAGTAGGTCACCTGTGACGTCAGTTTATGAAGGGATAGTCCGAAATCGGTGTTTTCGGTGTTTTTAAAAGATAAAAAACATATATTTGAATGTGGGGTCTGTTTTTTGTGACGATAAGTGACACTGCAGTAGCGTACCGAGGAGGGGGGGGGGGGGGACGGTAGGGGAGGGGAGGCGGGGGGAGGGGAGGCGGGGGGTGGGGAGGGGAGGCGGGGGGGGGGGAAGGGGGGGGTGGGGAGGTGGAGGGGGGAAGGGGGGGGACATATGTTGGGGCGCCAAAATGGTTTGGAAAAATAAATTGATAGGTTGAGGGGGGTTCAAATCGAAAGTTTGAGTGGGGGGGGGGGTGCACATCAAAAGTTTGAGGGGGGGGGGGTTCAAATCGAAAACTTTGTCCCCGGGCGCCGGGAAGGGTCGCTATGCCTCTGAGTGACAGACGTGATGTTTTTTGATGGATGACCCCCGAAACCCACAGTTATCCAACGGATGACGGGTATTCTAGTGTAATTCTAAATGCCATAAAAGTTCAACTTGTTGTAATAAATGATAATACTGATTGATTGAGACTATAGTACAATAAAGAATTTGAATGTTTCTGTCATTTACTTTAATTAATAATCAATAAAGACTTCATTTCATGATCCTTACGGCATTAAAAAACCCAAAATCTGCTCATGATTTTCTAATTCGGACTTTGGCCGGTCGTCCCTAGCCAGATTATCTTCTAATTAAGACTTTGGCCGGTTTACCATGGCCAGTCCGCGGATTGGCCGGCCAAAGGCCGAAATCAAACAAAGTTTCGGACTTTGACCGCCCTATGGGAGGCGATATTGGCCAATGCGCGGATTGGCCGGCTAATCCGCGCATTGGCCGACTTCGGGCTTTGACCGTAACATCGACACACTCCTCCCCTCTCAACACATCGTGCAAGTATACCGGACCCCCCCCCCCCCTCCCCCTTCCCCACCTACTTGGACTGTGACGAAATTTATTAAGTAATGGTTCAGGAACTAACTTGCAATATTAGAGATTGTTATTTCAAAGCATTTTACTTAACGAGTCAAAGGCCAAATGTAGATTACGGATAGATTCTAGATTTATATTGTAAAAGTAAGCTAGGCCTAAACTAAACCAAAGACAACAGGAATAATAACCCAGGCCTAACCAATGAACTTTGTGGCTCTTCAATGAATAAAAGTAAAAATAATAATGTTGACATTGCTCTTGTAAACCTTGTGCAGAATGTGCATTTTCGTGTACTGCTAGCCTAGGTCTGCTGTTGTTTGACTGTTTATTTAATATTTTTTTATGTGACAAGGTAAAATTAAATCTAGATTTAGATCTAGAATCTAGATCCTGACCATTTAACATACAAACACATTTGAGATTTAGTCTACAGTTAAATAATTAAATAAATAAAGAAAAACGTCAAAGAGCAGTACAATGATGGTGGTGATGTTCGTAAAGTCGAAAACTGTTCGTTCATTGTTGTTAAATGATTTAAATGTCTGATAACATCAGACTGAATCTGATGACTGAGCACTGAGTGAGAGTGAGAGTGTCTCAGACTCAGAGTGTCAGTTGTCTCACGTTGTCTGAGTCTGGATTGTTACCAATTCAAGTTACACATTACGATGATGAGTCGTCGTTCGACAATGTAGCTAGACTAATACTAATAGTAACTAGATCTAATAATTACTAATTGACTATTAACGATTGTGAATTGGGTAAAACTCCATTTTAGCGCATTTTATTCCCCGCTTCACGTTCACCTTCAGTTGAGCGTATTTTATTATAAACAACAAAAAAAAAACACAAAAACATTAGGAAAACATTGAACTTATTTCTTTATGAAGTTTTGATAATTTACTTTTGTCAAAACTTGAGAAAAATCCAAATTTGGAATATTGAATGCTATAAATAAACTTTTATGAACTCACGATGACCCCAAATCTGAGGCCAACACCATTTATTGCCAAAGCTATGACGTATGCTGATAATTTAATTGAAGTCAATGTGAACTCATGGTGAACCCTTGACTGTGTAGAGATTTTTCTCCCGCTGACGATCACACGCTATTTGATTGGAACTGTCCTAATGCTTTTTTATGTTGTTTTTTTTATTTACCTTTTCTAATTAAAACTAATAAAATACACTCAACTGGAGGTGAATGTGAAGCAGGGAATAGAATATGCTAAAATGGAGTTTTACCTGTGAATTGTTACTAATACTTACTAAGTAATAAGTAATAACTTTGTAGTACTTAGTCTTAGTTCTGTAATATAAAATAAAATAGACCACTGTGGCCTATTTACTATTATTTGATGTCTTTTTTACATAATCATAAGTTTGTTTGGACTGTGGTGGGCGAATAGCGAGAGCCGAGAGTGTCATCATCATGGATTGGAGTATTGGGACTGTATTGGTCAATCTTTGGGGTGAACCCTCAGTCACTAGTCTTTTGTGACATGGATATACGGACTAGGTAGTTAACCTCCCATAAGCCAGGCAGGCCTAGGCATAGTGAACTCCGTCTAACTCACTGGTTTGACCACTACATGACATGTTGGTCGCTTTTCATCTGTAGGTTCACCAGGCTTGATTTCCTCACCCTAGGTGCCGGACACTGTGTATTACCACCTGGTACCCACTTGATGATGTTGCAGTCAATATATGTTATATATACCTATAATTGAGATAGATCTATTAAGTACAGCTATTATATTTGCTTCTTTCATTACCATGTCCCTTATTATATCCCTGGAAACTGGCCTGACTTCAATCGTAACCATAACATTTATACTGTTAATAGCAAGGAAACCATTGCTATAAAGTATAAAATATTAATTTGTAAAGTTATAAGAACTTTGTGACAGTTTAAAGTTTATTTGGTTCACCTTCTATTATCCTTAGATATAAAGCTTAGAATCACTAAATATTTAAACAATTATTTTACTGTAGGCCCACTAGCTTCCAACACTTACTATCTACTTCTTCTCATTAGGAGTAATTAAATAATAGAAAAGTTAACAAATATTAATGTAAGCCTTACCACAACTGCAGATATTAAAAAAGAACTTAAAATTGTAATAGAAAGAGAAACTAGCGTTTAATGAAATACAAGTGTCTCTCATACTTAATTGTAATATTAAAATTCTTGTTATTTCTAATAATACAATTTTTTATGTTGAACAGTGCAAATAGACAACCATGTTTTTGTCTAGCAGACTGGGAATACTTAGAAGACATGGTATTTATCTAAAGGTAAAAATATTATTTTCTTTATAAAATTATTAAACATAAACATCATGAAGTTAATAAATCCTTGTTGTTTGTATTTCACCATAAACTTGTATTACTGTTGAATGTATTCTAATGTTGTATTTCCAGTACAAACAGGCTCCATGTAGTGCCAGTTTTGCATCTAAAGTTCCATTAGATGAAGACTGGAAGAAAGAAGCAGCCAAGGAGCTTAAGGGTAAAGATGTTGAGAAAACTCTGATCTGGAAGACTTCAGAGGTAAAAAAAAATTTTTTCTAACAATTCTTTCTAAGTTCTTGTCACTATCTAAAAAGCACAAGGCAGAAATTACTTTTGAGTTAAACTCAGACTATAACATTCCACCATCCTTTATTTCTTTGACTTAACATTGTATTTTAATGTTATAATGCAAATTGAATTTTGTTTAAATTTGTATTTTTATTGCTCTAAAACCTATAATGTAATCTCTCATAGCGAAGCTTCTCTGCTGTATTATCAGTCTCCATTTATTTTAATATATATAAATATTTTTTAAATCGAGAACTATTAAGTGTAGCAAAAGTTATGATTAATACAATTTTGTATTATTTATACACACACAAGCTCTAACCTACTACTACTTTTAAAAAATATTCTACATTGACATCAAACCAGTTACTATCATGGTTGCCTATTATAGTAATGACAAACCTTGAATTTTTACCCCTTCCTGAGTAGAAAAAAAACAGTTTTGCAATCTACCTTGTCTGTATATCTGTTTGCGTAAACATGCCAACAAAATTTCATATTTAAGTATTAGATCCTATACATATGTTTCTTTTGGACTTTTGAGCGATTTCCAATTTCCAGTAGTCCTATTGGTAGCCTACTTTACTCTTTACCTGCATTATTTGACAGTTTTATAACTTATTCTCATAGAGCAACATATTCTGAGAACTTTTCTCCACTGTTTTCTTTCAAGTAAAAACTAATTTACCAGAAATTTAAGGGTGCTCAATTTCACTTTATGTCATTTTTTGTTTAGGGCATAGATATCAAGCCAGTATATACGAAATTAGATACCGCCAATGTTGCCTCAGAAATCCCAGGAAGGTTCCCATACACACGAGGGGTGTACTCAACAATGTACACCCACAGGCCTTGGACCATCAGACAGGTGTGTATTACATTTTCAAAATTTACTTTGCCATTTTTGTGTGACTACAAGCTAAGAAAATACCCTAGTCATGTAGGCAGACTTTTTTAAATCGAGTGGCTTAAGTTGAAATCTAACAAGGGTTAGAATTTGGAATCCCTAATTCCTTTAAACCCATGTAGAATTGTAGATATCATATACTGGAGCAGTACAGAGCTTTGTGGTATTGATGATTAACTTTATTTTTAGAGAAACCCATTTAATTTAAACCAAAGCTTTCTGTTATAAATTATTCCCCTAAATACAAAGGCTTTAGTACAGATGAAAATCCCACACATGTAATAAAGTATCCTTTGTAAAGAGTATGCATGTTTACATACTGTAAACTATACATTTATGCCCTTTATTGTAAATAGTATGCAGGGTTCAGCACAGTTGAAGAAAGCAACAAATTTTATCGGGACAACATTAAGGCAGGCCAGCAGGGACTGAGTGTTGCTTTTGATTTGCCGACACACAGAGGGTGAGTCAGAGTATTTTAACACAATTAGGCTGCTATTGGTTTGAAAAAAAAAGTTATCTGCCAATTAGAAATGTTTCTTTTTTTTTTTGTATCCTGATTAGTCAGTTATTAAAAAAAATTGTCTGCATAAAAAAGTTGCTAAAAACTAATTAGCTTTAAAATAATTACCCGGCAAGGACTAGCCATTATTTGAATTAAAATATCTCTTGGTTTATTTTTTTTTTTTAAAACCCAAGTCATGTCCCTAAAGAACAAGACAGTATTTTTGTCCAGCCCCCAGCTAATCTCTAAAAGATATTCAGCGTGGCAACAATAGTAAATAACATAATAAAAAAAAACTCCGAGGTCATCCCCGCCTTCCCCATTTGTTCTAATTGATGCAGCAATTGTCTGATTGTGATGACATTAACAGCTATGATTCAGACAACCCTCGAGTTGTGGGCGATGTGGGCATGGCAGGAGTGGCCATTGATTCAGTGGAAGACACAAAGCTCCTGTTTGACGGCATCCCCCTTGGCAAAATTTCCACTTCAATGACCATGAATGGCGCGGTGCTTCCCATCCTGTCAATGTACATTGTAGCCGGGGAGGAGCAGGTAATCAAATGGCAGTGGTCCTCAAATGGTGCACAATCTGAGCTCACTGAAGTATTAGTTGCACTCAAAGGCATTTTCTTGTTTTGTGTGTCAAATCATGCTCATTTTAATATGAAGATTTAATGGAAGAAAGGCAAACTGATTTCTTTAATAGAAAAAAAAAACATCTTTTCATTTTGAATTAAATTGAATTATTAGTAGTATTATGCTGATAAAATATGCAGTAGCATTTTGAAATGAGACATTTTAAAATCTTTAATAATTTTTGACAACTAGAAATAATGCTCATTATAATATGTTTAAAAAATTATTTTTTAATTTCTCACTTCTCAGACTTCTCTAGAGTATTTATTTAAAAAAAAACTTAAAATATTTATTTATAAATTAATTAGTTACTATTTTGAACTATTTTATGTACTGTAATGTCTGACATAACATCATGTTCATAGGGTGCCAAGCAGGAGGATCTGGCTGGAACCATACAAAATGACATATTGAAAGAATTTATGGTGCGAAACACATACATCTACCCACCTGAGCCTTCAATGAAAATCATTGGGGATATTTTTGAATACACATCCAAGGTGTTTATTTTATTTTAATTTTTTTTGAAAAGGCAATTAAAATCAATACTAGTATTTTAAATATATATTTTTTTAAAGTGTAAAAAAAAAAAAATTGTGTTTATACATTTTCTGTTAACAATATCTTTGTAAATTTTGTGTTTATCATTGGTTTAGATAAAACTTTCAAATACTGAAATATAAATTTGATACTATTTATAATGAAAAATTTATACTGTAATATGATGTTTGTTTTTTACAACTAAAAATACATGCACCTATTTGTTACTTGAATTAATAGTTACTTAGTGCTTAAAGTATAATCAGCACTTGATATTAACTCTAATCATTTATTACATCTAACATTTGTTCTTAGCACATGCCAAAGTTCAACTCCATATCCATCTCAGGCTACCACATACAAGAAGCAGGAGCTGATGCTATTTTAGAAGTGGCCTTCACCTTGGCTGATGGCTTAGAATATGTACGACAAGGTTAGTAAAACACTGCATGGTTTTTCTTTTGTTTAGGCTCATACTCATAGCTATTTTAGAATGTTGTTGCTCTTAATAGGACTGCCCATTGCCATATTTAATTTTAAAACTCTGAATTTTCCTGACCAGGTGTTAACAGGGGTCTGGATATTGATAAGTTTGCTCCACGCTTGTCTTTCTTTTGGGGAATTGGGATGAACTTTTATATGGTAAGTTTTATCTTGTTGGTGGGTTGGGGGAGTAGGAAGGGGCAGTAACTGTGGAACCTGAACATTGAAAATTTTTTGTATTTCACTTATCTTTTTCAGTTCTTCTTATAGAGTAAAATCTATTTTCCTGTTGTGTTCTGTAATTTACCACTCATTTAGGAAATAGCTAAGATGAGGGCAGGGAGAAAACTCTGGGCTACACTGATCAAGGAGAAATTTAAGCCCAAATCCTCAAAATCTCTTCTACTGCGAGCCCATTGTCAGACTTCTGGATGGTCCTTAACTGAACAGGTAAATACTAGCTTTAGTTACCAATTGGCTTGTAAATCCAAATTACCCCCCTTAATGATTTATTTTACAGATTTGAAGTCATTAACTTTAAAATCTCTGTTTATAAAGTTGTGGATCTGCAGAAACTATTTTAGCAAGAACATTTCTATTTCAAAAGTTGTTTCTGTTTTGAAAGTAGGGCATAAAAATCCTGTGTGAGTGTAGATCTGTCTATCCCATAACTATCACAGCTTAAGGGACACCACAGAAGACTTTTTGATAAAACTGCCCATTTTCCCATTCCTCTAATGTGGTTAGTGATTCTACACCAGACAACCCTGTCTATTCCTTGATTTCCTCCTGCCATTGTCTTCTTGGCTAATGATTAGCTTGGTTTTACTTGCAGGATCCTTACAACAACATAGTGCGCACAACCATTGAGGCCATGGCTGCAGTGTTTGGTGGCACCCAGTCCCTACACACCAACTCTTTTGATGAGGCTCTTGCTCTACCCACAGTCTTCAGTGCCCGCATTGCCAGGAACACGCAGATCATTTTACAAGAAGAGTCTGGCATTCCAAAGGTCTTGTATAATTCTCATTTGTTTATGTTGATTAATTTAATTATAAGTTAGTGATTTATATACATACAGTTCCATATGTAGTACCATATGTGTTAGTCATTAAGTTTTTATTGTCAATATGGTTTCTTACAAAATAGAAAGGTTTTATATGGTTTCAAGTATTAAGTTATTGCTTGCATTTAGATAATAAAAATTCAAACAGTAGAAACAACCTTAGATATTTAACTCTAAAGCCATTTCTTACCTTTATTTGTGTATTAAAATAGGTAAAGAGGGTTAATTGTTCCAAAATAATATCCATTACACATTTTTTCTTTGTTTTGAAATGTTTCAGTTTTGTTTTAAAATACAATTATTTATTTTATTTTACTAATTTATTTATTTTCCTAAATGATAATAGGTTGCCGATCCTTGGGGTGGGTCCTACATGATGGAGAGCCTGACCAATGAGATTTATGATGCAGCTTTGGCATTGATTAATGAGGTGAGACTCCACTTAAACAAGCCAGCTAAGAAAACACAGACACTCCATTATATCAGCTAGCCAAGAAAACCTAACATTATCACATAGACACTCCCACATATCAGCTAGCCAATAAACCTCACATTATCACATAGACACTCCATTATGTCAGCTAGCCAATAAACCTTACATTATCACATAGACACTCCCACATATCAGCTAGCCAATAAACCTTACATTATCACATAGACACTCCCACATATCAGCTAGCCAATAAACCTTACATTATCACATAGACACTCCCACATATCAGCTAGCCAATAAACCTTACATTATCACATAGACACTCCATTATATCAGCTAGCCAAGAAAACCTTACAATATCACACAGACACTCCAACATATCAGCTAGCCAAGAAAACCTTACAATATCACACAGACACTCCAACATATCAGCTAGCCAAGAAAACCTTACAATATCACACAGACACTCCAACATATCAGCTAGCCAAGAAAACCTTACAATATCACATAGACACTCTTTTATATCAGCTAGTCAATAAAATATTTCCTTGTCACATAAACATTGCATATTCCACTAAAACCAGCTAGGTAAGAAAAAAATTTAATAAAAACATGTGTCCATACTGCTGATAAACAAAGCAATGATAGGTGTTTATATTTCATTGAGGCAGATAGAGGAGATGGGAGGTATGGCCAAAGCTGTAGCTTCAGGAATGCCCAAACTCAAAATAGAAGAATGTGCTGCTCGGAGACAGGCTAGGATTGATACTGGGGCTGGTAAGGCAGTTCACAATAAAGTAGACAGTTCACAATAAAGTAGACAGTTCACAATAAAGTAGACAGTTCACTATTCAGTGCTCTAGTTGTAGATACAGGCTAGGATTGATACTGGGGCTGATAAGGCAGTTCACTATTCAGTACTTAAAACAGTTTACTATTCAGTACTCAAGTTGCATTTACAACTGGTTAGAAATTTTGATGTTCAAAATTTAAATTTACAAACTTACTGCCAATAAATCTTAATGATAATGCCACAATAATGAAATCTTTATTTGGCTAGAGGTAATAAACTATGAAATTAAACTATCTTTCTAATGTCAACTCTAATCCTAATCCAAGTCCTAACTTTAAATCTTTAGCAACCAAACACACCTATGTTTGGAAGTTAATTGTTGGACCTAAATTACATTGGACTAAATGATAAAACTATTTGAAAATTCCAGAGGTGATTGTGGGGGTGAACAAGTACAGATTACCTCAGCAGGAAAAGGTGGATGTCCTCAGCATTGACAATTCAGCAGTCAGGGAAAAACAGTGCGCCAGGTTGGCCAAAGTCAGAGCCACGCGGGACAGTCAAAAAGTGGGTTTTTAAATAAGTTTCTAACTAAACAAATATTTTTATTTTCATAATAATTAATTAGTGTAATTAAACAGATGTAGGCCTACAATTCTTAAAACTTTAATAGTTACATAGAACAGTGAACAGTAAAAAGTGGGTTTTTAAATAAGTTTCTAACTAAATAAAAATGTTTTTATTACTAAAATAATTAGTTACTTAAAATTGTGACCATTTAAAAAGTGTGTTTAAGTAGTTTCTGACAAAACAAATATTTATTTTTCCACAATCAAATTAAATAATTAAATTATGTATGAACAATTCTTAAAATTTTAAGTTACATAAAATAGTGAAGGTTGAGTTTATAGTAACAATTATTGTAATAATAAAATTAGTATCAGAGAAGCATTGGAATTATTGCTGATTTGTCTTGATCTTGTTTAGGTGAAGGAAATCCTAGATGCCATCACACAGTGTGCCAGATCTGGAGAAGGAAACTTGCTGGCTTTGAGTATTGAAGCAGCTAGGTGTAGAGCCACAGTAGGGGAGATCTCGGATGCTATGGAAGTGGTCAGTTTACCATTAAAAACTTGGACTTTGTTTTGCATGAAATAAAATTGTTCAACTGAAAAGTTTAACAGCAATTAATTTCAATTTTTATTAAAAATGTATTATTTATTTTAGACTTGTTAAGAAAAAACAGTTATTACTTAACTTAAACTGCTATCCCTCTAAATTGCATTCAACTTTAACTTTTAATTTATCTATAATTACGTTAAACCTAACTTTTACTTAAACTGGTATCCCTCTATAATTATGTTCAACATAACTTTAACTTAAACTTCTATCCCTCTATGATTATGTTCAACTTAACTTCTTTAAATGGTATTTCCTCTATGATTATGTTACTTGTGCCCTCTGTCAGGTATTTGGAAGACATGTGGCTAGTGATCGAATGGTCAGTGGCGCTTATAAAAATGAGTTTGCTGAAGCGGATGAACTTCAGGTTGTGATTGACAGAGTCAAGGTTTGTAAGTTATACTCATCTGATACACCTTTTTTCTTTGATATAATGGTAGCTTGATTTAGGTGAATTCTGTCAGTTGTGTAACAATTAAAAAGCTCTTTTATAAAGAAATTTAGGCCTACTACAAAACTAATATTTTTTAAAATAAAATTATAAAATCAAATTGTCTTTTATTTTAAAATACAATTTTTTTTGTTTGGAGATGTTTACAAACAAGATAAATATGTGTTTTATCATTTGTTATAAAATTCTGTGTTTTTTAAAATCATGGTTAAATTTGTCAAATATTTTTCCTGTTTCTAGAAGTTCCAAGAAATTGAGGGTCGTCGACCTCGTATGCTGGTAGCAAAAGTGGGCCAAGATGGACATGATAGAGGTGGTAAAGTAATAGCCACTGGGTTTGCTGACATTGGATTTGATGTGGACATTGGTCCTCTCTTTGCTGTGAGTTTTGATTATAAACATATAAGTGATGTGATCAGTAGCCTTTTTTTAAAATTCTAAATGTTACGGGAGTAGCTTGGTCATAAAATGTGAGATTTTAGGATGTAGTCCAGTTATTTTTACCTCTATATTATCATGCATTAAGAGTTGAAGGTAGTCATCTTTCTAGTGGACTAAAGAGTGGGAATTACAGTGTTTGTTTCCAGAGAGCAAGATGGCAACAGCTGACCTAAAAGCTTTAGTCAGCCATTAATTGATGCACTAGTGGATCCCAATGTCATATTATTAGTGGAATTAATGCAGTTTAAAATAAGGATATTTAGTTGTATGTTGTGTAATGCCATGTCTGCTCTTCTTGCCATGTATTTCATGTCTGGCCTGCTTTTCATATAATGTCATGTCAGGCCTGTTTGTCATATAATATCATGTCTGGCCTGCTTGTCATTTGATGTGATGTCATGTAATGTCATGTCTGGCCTTGTTGTTCCAGACACCTAAAGAAGCAGCCCAGCAAGCCATTGATGCTGATGTTCACATTGTAGGAGTTAGCTCTCTTGCTGCTGGACACAAGACTCTGATTCCAGAACTAATTAAAGAACTGAAAGCCATGGGACGGCCGTAAGTTGCCAGCATTGATAGCAGTAGTAGAACTGAGAAGTGTTGGTAACAGTGATGTAAATGAGAGCTTATGGGGTAGGGTGCTTGACATAGTTATGTTCTTATAATCACCATGGTAAAAGAAAATTAAACAATTCTTATTATTATAACAAAACCACTTTATTAAATCAATAGCATGTGTTCAATACATAATTAGTAACTTAGATGTTGGGCATGTATCTTAACTGGAAGAAATACACCTTAGTGAGGTATGGTATGGTACAAGCTGTGTTGCAAACAGAAATTTAAAAAAAAAAGCGTAACTTGATTGCATTAAAAAAAATGCATTTTCTAAGTCCTTGCTTGAACTTTCTATCAAGGGGAAACAAATGTAGTTTTTAGAAAAAATTAAAGTCTTTTAAAACAATAATGAAGATCTCCAGCACCACCCTACTTTATCATAGTCGTAATCTAGTTTAGAACCTTCTAACTGCGCTATTTTAAGTGTTGATATTCAAAACAAAGGGTTTGATTAAAAAAGTGATAGTGTTGAAGAGGGTCAGTCTGTTCTACTTAATAAAACTAGTTTACTAAATACACCTATCTCCCATTCTACTGAATAAAACTATTTTACTAATTCTAATTGTTTCAACTGTTTCAGTGATATTATTGTTGTAGCTGGAGGTGTCATACCCCCTCAGGATTACGACGAGCTCTATAAATCTGGATGTTCTGCCATCTTTGGTCCAGGTAAGTGGATTTATTTCACTCACTTTATAAGCATACTCTTCCTATAGAAAAAATATAATTGATATCAAATGGAACATTGACGACATATTTTGGGCACTGAGCACAGGATTGCAAACCTAAAAATTAAGTCTTGTCCTTAGACACACAATTTTTTAGGACCCTGAGTCCACTAAGTGCTAGAGGTTACCTAACTCATGTAAGCAAGTAACACTCCTTCGCCATTCTTTTCTTTCCAGAGGTCAAAGAAGCAGATGAACTCTATTTCATCTAAGCTTTTTTTAACTTGTAATTTTTATCTCACATCAATAAAATATTCAATTTTTATTCTCTATAGAAAGTTGTATGCATAAAACTTGATATAACATTGATGACTTGTTGACAGGAACCAGAATCCCTGATGCAGCATTAAAACTGATTGCCCTTCTAGAAGAGGAATTGTCCAGCAAGAATAAAACAGAATCCACACAAAGACTCAAGTAACCCAATATTAGTGATATTATGTGCATTTTTCTTTATTTGTAATAAATTACATTAATTCATATTCCATGCTGATTGATGTCAAAAAAATGTAGAAATTGTTCAGATTTTAGTCTATTTTATAGAAATATCTTTATCTTTCTTTTTTTGAAAGTGACCTCTCATATTAGATGACTCACAATCAGTGAGGTGTTAAGGGGTTTTAACCTATCCAGTTAAATCCCCAAAATGATGACTGTCTTATAGGTTTAGTCATAAGACATTCTGCTTTAATCTTGAATACTGGAGTATCATGAAAAAACAACCTTGATGGTTGTACACATGATTTAGACACCAGTGAATATTATGATTTAGGCCAGTGAGATCCGTTAGATATTATAGTTCTTCATGTAACACATTGCATATTCCAGAAATGGTTGGTTCCTGTTCATTTTAAATATTTATTGTAATCAGTTTAAAGTTGCCTCCTAGCCATTTGGAGTCACTCATTGGGTGTACATCATTTTGAAAACCGCTAAACTTTTAAAATGTTAGCAAATTCAGTTTTATTTCTGAAAATTTGATTCATTTAAAAAATGTCTTTGTATAAACTACTGTGTAAATAAATGTTTTCAATTGTTGAGAATTGAACAATGTTTAAAAAATTATGTTTTGTTTCTTTGGATTATATTTCAAATCAAACTCGTTAACACAATCATAAAAAATAACTTCGCTGATAAATATATTTTATTTTTTTCACAACACATACAAAATCCACAAAACCAAAGATAAAAAAAAAACAAGAAAAAGGTTAAAACCCCAAATATTTGAAATAAAAAAAAAATTAGAGCAACATTTGCTCTTAGAAAACAAAAGTATACTGAACACTTGAATAAAGAAACTAAATAATAATTTGAATGGCCAGATATACCCTAGCTGACATTTTTACTTTTTTAAAAAGATATTAATCTACTGCTGAAGTGTAGATCAAGTTTAAAAATATGTAATATAAAACATGCTTTTAAAAACTGATTTTTAAGTGCAACAAAGGATACAAATGAAATCAAGGTTGTGTATATAAACATGTGCATATAAACAAAATACTTCTAAAATTTCCCTAGTTCAATCAGGAATAGAATGTATGCATATTATACTTCACAAACACAATACCAGTACAGCAAATAATACGTGATACAGAATACCAAATATTTTTTTATGTTTACATCATTTTTATTTTTACAAGACAAAACCACAGACTGTAAAAATTAAGTGTAATAACAAAAATGTACCAACGCTTTAGTTCCACTATCTGCTTAGAAGAAATGTTAATTTCCATAAAGTGGAAACATATTGGATTATATTCAATCATCATAGGTACACTGGAATTATGATCCTCAATTAAAAAGGCAAAACATTATCCTGGATATTCTTTTACAGAATGAATGTTTAGAGAAACCAACAACACTAATTTAATTGTATACGTTGGGGGTCAAAATACCAGTAGATAAGGGGATCAAATGATTTTACTGAAGTCATTTGACACAAATTTCCAGGCTTTGACAATAATTTCTTGAAATGTTGAAGGTTTTTGATATCTAGCAAGTTTACAGCTTATAAAACTGACTAGAGAAAAGTTCACTGTGAATTCTGGCAATTACAATACAAAAGTTCAACAAATACTATATTTTATTCATGATGTCAATGTAAAAATATAAAACTTTGGCTGGCCACCCGAATTGTAGTCATTCTTGGATTTAATTTTTATTTTACACCCAGATACATTTGTAAAACTTTAAAATTTAAAAAAAATTTAAGTAAATTAAAACAAAAATATTTTCAATAAACAGCAATTTTCAAAAGTTGAAGAACTATAATTGGAAGCAGTAAAAAAGCTTATATATATTTCATCAATTAATCACCAGTTTAAGTAATACAGCCTAGTAATACTTCTATTAAAATAAATTAATTTCTTTATTAACATGATATTACAATTTTTATATTTCCAAATTTATTTCATTTGTAATAAAAATATTAAAAATGTTTGAAAATATTCCAGATGAAATTAAGATGTAAATTTAGAATTCAATTAATAAAATTCCAATAAATCAATAAGATTATATATTTAAAATTTGAAAATAAATATTGATTATTTATGTTACAAAATTTATTGATTTTTAATAGAGCCTCACAAAACTTATTTAAAAAAACAACAACTGAATAGCTAACCTTAGAGAATACAAAAATAAGTATACAGTCCTCAGCTCCAGGCACATTTTTTAGCAGGCTTTCTGTGACTGCTGCATTAGTTCTTTCTGACAACAAATAATTGCCTGTAAATATAAATAATGTAAATTAAACAAGGTCATATTGGAATTTTTAAACATAATTTAAACACCTTGTTTTATCTTTGATGAGTAATATGTAACAAAAAATTGATTTTTACACCTACCAGTAACTATATGCTTTTTTTGTATCCTGGCTCTCGTTATCATCATAAGATGTTTGACATTGAAGTAGGACTTGCCACCAAAGTTGATGTCTATTAAATCTAGATATTTCTTTTAAAAAAACAACAACTAGGAGATCAATTTCGAACAAAGTATGGCATAGAAACCATCATGTGATCTGATTAAAAAAAATAAAATGTTATTGCTTTTAAATACATAATATTGCAATTGTTTTTCAAAAGTGTGACCATTCAAAAGCTAGGCTTACAAGCTCAATAAGAACAGATTCTGTTACTTCACATTAAGCTTATCACCACAAGTAAAACAGTTGATTAACTGATTAATTTGAAAGACCCGGCACACAAGGGGAGGTAATCGAAACAAATAAAAAGAAAGAACCTTATTCTAAAATCACAAATTTAACAACTTAGAGGCTTTAGTTTGCTCAAAAATTAATTCTACATGACTTTTCCAGACATGTCAAATACACTTTTAAAAATACACATTTCTAAAGCCTATTCACTAGATACCAGCTATCAAATTCATATTTTGCAACTTTCCTTTTAACATAATTCTCTTAAAAATCCAGATTTATGACCTTAAATTGTATTATATTACAAAAAATCTAAAACTTAAATGATATTCTATCCAAAATGCAGTTAAACTTTTCCAAAATTTATTTGTATTCTATTCTGTTTAAAACTAAATCAGGTTATAATTTGTTTATCATTCCAAAAGTTCATTGAAATTTTAAAAATTTTAGAATTGTAAAGGTGAGTTGCAAATAAAAATATAAAATGAGTAGTTTCCTGTCAACTTTGATGGAGAAAGATGGCACTTCATTAGGGCAACATGTCTATCAACATCTAGCATAAAATACTAAAAGTCATTTTATGCTGTTAAATAATTTAACAAGGGCTAAGGTTAAAAAAAAAAAAACTTTTCATAAACTGTTAAAAAGTATTGTTGGAATGTGCTTCATCAGCTTCTACTTTATATGCTCAACTGCATGGAAATAACATTTAAATATAAATGTAATAATGTTCTATAAATATATGTACTTTGAATATAGATATATAATTTCAGAATTATATAATAGGATAATACAATGTCTAAAAATATGTGCAAAGGCTTTATATTTTGCTGCAAATCCACTCATATATAGAACCATACGATAATGAGTAAAAAATACTTATAAGAGTTCACAAAAAAACAGATATTACTTGTAAAGAAAAAAAAATAAGCCTTTTAGTCAAAGCTTGATTTTATGAAGTAAAATATTCCGTTAATTGAGGGGGGTGGGGGGGAAGCTGTCAACTAAAAGATTTAGTTCTGAAGATACAATGATAAGCTGAAACATGTCATCGCCAGATGTGGACAAGTGTCATCAGGCGTCATAAGTCCATCAGATGTCAACACTTACAAATGACAAGACAAAAAATAGTAGCAAATTATTTAGGTTAATGAGCTGTGGAAATATGCGCAGGGATGGAAGAAAAATTATGCCAGTCACATGATCAGTGCTAAATATAGAAGACAAAATAAAATAGGACAGGTTAATAAATTTGAGAAATATAAATTGTAAACAGTTATTAAGATTATATATTAAAAAGTTTTATAAGTAACATGTAACAAACTGACCAAAAAAAAAGTATAACCAAAATTACTTACAGATTAACACATTTCATTAATATAAACAGTGAATATTATTAAGATACACTGAAAATTAATTTGAAACAAAATAGCATGCTAAAGCAAAAAATATATTTTTTTAATGACAAGAATTTAAAAAAAAAAAATAATCACACAAACTTATTGCAGTTTTATTATAAAAAAAAATGGGAAGTCTAAATTTGATTGTTTAACCAGCTGATGTAAGGGACAAATTCCGTCTGCCTCACAAGGCAAATGAGCCGAGTGTTGACAAACATCCTGGTATGCCCTCCTCAGTTGTCATCACAGCACTGTCTGATCACATGACTTGTTTATACAGGACACAGCCATTAGCACCCCAGGTGTTTAGAGAGGACCAGACAAGGAAAAAATAACTCTCTGGGCCTAGTGATTCAAACCTATGGTATTTCTCAAGGGAAAGAACTTGTACAGACACAGCAGAAGTGGGTTAGTTAAAAATTACAATCTGGCCAATGGCATTTGGTTAAACTATTTGCTAGCTGCAACATTTATAAAAAATTGATTTTTATAAAATATTATAATTATAGGATTAATCACTAGAAACTTACATTAGGGGATAAAATAATGTATAAATTATTTTTTGTGAGACTTTGAAACTTCAACAACTAGCCGGAAGGTAACAATCCCCCTGAAGAAAAAAGATATGACAGTCCAGCTAAGTCATAAACTCTAAACTAAAACAATCAGTCAAAGATTCAGGAGTAATTACACAGTAAGTAACTCTAGACTTTAACAAAACTAAAGGATTAACTCAACATTCTGTCCCGTTTATAATTTTTTTGATGCAGCAAAAGTTATTTAAGAAACATAGGAATTAACTTGAACAATTATGGAAGAATCACATTATCTGATTATGGTAGACATGGGATCTGGAAATGGCTGCAGTCTGTGTCATTAAGAGCACTGTGGTAAAGAGGAGATCATTACATGGTGTTAACAATTAAACTTTTAATTACACCAAGCTTTTTTATGTCCCTTTATCAAGGCTGTTTAGAAAAATTAATTAATTGCAAAAATAGCACAAAAAAAAAAAATTAATAATGAACACATTGAAAAAATATTTTAGCACATTATAAAATAAATAATGAGGTGAATGTGAACTTTTAGTGAACATTGTAAAAAATTTTAAATTACATAAAACTAAAAAAACCTTTTCTCATGTTAGTACAAGTTCATAGTATGTAAAAAAAAAATGAACCTTTAAATTAAAATAAATTATTTTAGTGCTGGAATCACATTATAGTAAAATATTAACTGCCTTGTAAAAAATTTAAAAATAGTCTTGGTCATGTGCATTGTAACAGTGATAAAAACACTAAAAGTTAGCGATCGTCGAACCCTTCCGTAACACAGAAGTCAAAGAGAGGGGGATAGAAGGCACAGGTGACCCAGCTGTTTCAGTACAGGTGTACATCACTGTTCTACTGGTTGTTGAATTATTTGCGTATGGAGGGTAAAGAAAACAACAAGGTAAAAACCTTCAGTTGATAAAAGAACTTGCGTAATACTGAGGTACAAACATGATGAGGTATGAATGAAGTTAAATCACTTTACATCAATAGAAAAAAAAACATCAACAACAGATGAACATTTAAAATTTGTCCAGCGGCTGGAGAAAGATAATGAAAACTAGACTACAAAATTTATGTTTAAAAAAAACATGTTAAATTAAGGAACAAATAAAGAAATAAAAACAACATTTTATGTACAGAAATTTAAAAATAAAATTCAACCCAGTAAAAAGTGATTAAAAAACTTAAAGCAATCTAGTATAATCTAGATTAAAAAATTATATCTCTGTTTTGATTAGCCACTGCAACACTTTTTAAATGCTACCTGCTGAAATACAAGTGACAATTGTATTTAAAAGCAGAAAGAAAGTAAAAATAAAAACATTATTCCCAAAAAAAAAGAACGATAAAATACCTGGAGGCATTATGAACTGTTGAGACCCACATCAAACTAGCACCAAGTTTTGTCCCTTAACAGAGAAAATAAATTCCAAGAAAATACTATTTTTTTAAAGCTGTTAAATAAAATACATTTTTTTCACAAGTTAAAACAAAATTATGGCCTTGATTTACAACAATAACTAAAAAACGTAGCTCTTCTGACATAAAAACAAGCAAAGAACACAACCCCCCGCCACTAATGGGGGTGGATGATGGTCTGTAAAGTGCGCAGCTTTGTAATCCACGAGGGGGTTTTCTTTACTGGCGAGTGACTGCTGCTGTCTGTCTCTGCTTCTTCGTTCTCAGGATCCTCCGGGATAGAATCCGCTTGCCGGATATTCCTCTTGGATGCGGTTTCATCCTGGTGGTGGAAGACTTGGAGCAGGCTGCTGATGACCCTGGACACTGCCATGCCTATTTCCTCTGGGTCGGTTGACCGGTCATTCAGACACTGCCAGTCACGGTCAGATACACCAGGAGGTAGCTAGAACAGGATGACACAATATTAGCGGACACATCATGAGCTAAATCATAGAGGTACAATAACCTCTTACGTGTTTGGTTTAAATAGTATAATGTTATTTACATAGGTCTACATTTAAAAAAATTGTATGATTAAGATTTTCATCTTAAACGTAGCCTACAAATATTAATTAATAACCTAATACATTCTTTTAAATAGTATAACATTATATACATACATTAAAAAAAAATGGAATGACTAAGATTATTATTTTTGAAAAGTAGCTTACAAATATATAAATAACATTAATAAATAACATTAATAAATAAAAATTTTCATCAATTAGAAAAACAACTCACAACAATAAAAAAGATAAAATTTCTAGCAAATTTAACCACAGCCACATATTTGTAAAAATGTTAAGTTAGAGAAGGATAGCAAATAAAACAACCAAACTGACCTGGTACATTTTATCTGTGACCCTGAGATCACCAACTGAGGCGCCAGAAGAACAACACACTGGCACCACGATGTGGTCACTCCACACAAACTCCTCCACCTCATGGGCAGAGTTGGCATCACCTAAAGTACAAACACAACCCAGTGTAAACTCTAGTTTCTACTTAACTCAATGTCAAGTATCACACCTAACACTGTTAGTTTCTACCCAACTTAAACTCAAGTACTCCTGACAATACAGCAACACATCTTAAGTAACTAAAGAAGCTAAAATTTTACCTTCAATCAGCAAACAGATGTAAAAGCATCTTCCAGCTATGGCCTCTTTTTCCCAGACACTATTGCCACAGAAAATACTTTTGCCAAAATCTTTCAGAGGGAACAAGCCATCTGCTCCTTGATTGTATTGCTCAGAAACATCCTGGAGTGTATAAACATGAAATTTAATGATGCATTAAAAACATAAATTTTAATGATGTATTAAAATTTATATTTTAATAACATTCAAAACATACAGAATAAGTGTAATTTATTTTAAGCATACAGAAAATGTGATTTAATTTAATTTATTCTAAGCATACAGAATACATGGGATTTAATGTAATTTATTCTAAGCATAATGAATAAACATTAGGAATTATAATGAGGGATTGTACACTAAGGGACCATCTAATTATGACATTCATTCACACTGAGGATTATAGTCAATTTTTGCGAACGCGTGTTGACTGGCTAAGCAAGGAGTGAGCTCTGATCAATGCCTATATGGTGATTTAAACACCTATATACTTATATGCTACAACAAATATAAAACCATTGACTTTCATACAAAAATATACATTTAAATGGCAGTGATCCTGTTTAATAAAAAAAAAACCACCTAGTACAGCGTATAATTAAATGACAGCGACTATAACTATGAGATTAACTTTAGCTCAAATGAACAATAATGAAACAAAATATCTGGTTGTCTTACAACTATAATGCTGCATATGACTACAGAAAAACAGCACATTTAAAACTTTTGTTACCACTTTTAAAAAGTTTAACACTCTACACTAGCTTTTTGGTTGAAATAAAAAAAAAATAAAGTACTCATAATGCGTTTGAATCTTTAAAAAAAGGTGTGTTTTTTTCTAAACACATTCTAGATTCTTCTTTTAATATTAAATATAAATATTTCCGAAAAAGAACAAATCACTCTGTATCAGCATTGCAACTTGCATAATAAATACTTTTTAAAAAAATCCTGAAAAGAATAAAAATCACTCTATATCAGCACCGCACCCTTGCATAATAAATTATTCTTAAAAAATCCCCCAAAAAATACAAAAAAAACAACAACAAATTACTCTATATCAGCATTGCAAACTTACATAATAAAATACTAAGTTAAAATGGTGAACATAAGTTTTGAGAGGTCTCTTACATTTTGTGGACATACATAATGGAAGTGAGGTGTTTCATCCAAAGTGGATGCAAGTGGGCAGAGAGAGGTCTAAAACTGTGGCCATATTTCTATCAGGATCTTGCATAAATTATGCGAGTCAAATGTAACATCCATTTTAAAGATTTACCTGTGACTCTTGCTCAGGCAACAGGTGCCAGAGTGTTGACCTCTTGGACTGTGTCTCACACTCGTCAAAGAAGACGCGCCCCACCAGGTCACTGGTCCCCAGACAGCCACCTGTCACCATCTTGATGTTGTCCAGTCTGGCTAGGTGAGCTCCGATGGCCCTGAAAACATTTTTAACCTCATCAGACACAGAAGTAAGGGACAAAGTGGCCAGGCCCTGGAAACATTTTTAACCTCATCAGACACAGAAGTAAGGGACAAAGTGGCCAGGCCCTGGAAACATTTTTAACCTCATCAGACACAGAAGTAAGGGACAGAGTGACCAGGCCCTGGAGACATTTTTAACCTCATCAGACACAGAAGTAAGGGACAGAGTGGCCAGGACCTGGAGACATTTTTAACCTCATCAGACACAGAAGTAAGGGACAGAGTGGCCAGGACCTGAAAACATTTTTAACCTCATCAAACACAGAAGTAAGGGACAGAGTGACCAGGCCATGGAAACATTTTTAACCTCATGAGACACAGAAGTAAGGGACAGAGTGACCAGGCCCTGGAAACATTTTTAACCTCATCAAACACAGAAGTAAGGGACAGAGTGACCAGGCCCTGGAGACATTTTTAACCTCATCAGACACAGAAGTAAGGGACAGAGTGGCCAGGCCCTGGAGACATTTTTAACCTCATCAGACACAGAAGTAAGGGACAGAGTGACCAGGCCCTGGAGACATTTTTAACCTCATCAGACACAGAAGTAAGGGACAGAGTGGCCAGGACCTGAAAACATTTTTAACCTCATCAAACACAGAAGTAAGGGACAGAGTGACCAGGCCATGGAAACATTTTTAACCTCATCAGACACAGAAGTAAGGGACAGAGTGACCAGGCCCTGGAAACATTTTTAACCTCATCAGACACAGAAGTAAGGGACAGAGTGACCAGGCCCTGGAAACATTTTTAACCTCATCAGACACAGAAGTAAGGGACAGAGTGACCAGGCCCTGGAAACATTTTTAACCTCATCAGACACAGAAGTAAGGGACAGAGTGGCCAGGCCCTGGAAACATTTTTAACCTCATCAGACACAGAAGTAAGGGACAGAGTGACCAGGCCCTGGAAACATTTTTAACCTCATCAGACACAGAAGTAAGGGACAGAGTGACCAGGCCCTGGAAACATTTTTAACCTCATCAGACACAGAAGTAAGGGACAGAGTGGCCAGGCCCTGGAAACATTTTTAACCTCATCAGACACAGAAGTAAGGGACAGAGTGACCAGGCCCTGGAAACATTTTTAACCTCATCAGACACAGAAGTAAGGGACAGAGTGGCCAGGCCCTGGAAACATTTTTAACCTCATCAGACACAGAAGTAAGGGACAGAGTGGCCAGGCCCTGGAAACATTTTTAACCTCATCAGACACAGAAGTAAGGGACAGAGTGACCAGGCCCTGGAAACATTTTTAACCTCATCAGACACAGAAGTAAGGGACAGAGTGGCCAGGCCCTGGAAACATTTTTAACCTCATCAGACACAGAAGTAAGGGACAGAGTGGGGGTAGAGAGCTGGACTGCTAACCCGCAAGTCTTGAGTTCAAATCCGGGTTCAAGTCAATAGACCGTCTGTGAGTTCACCCAGCTATGATGGGTACCTAACTCATGTTAGGGTAAGTAAAGGCGGCTGGGTATAGTGCTGACCACACTATCCCTTCATATGCTGAGGTCAAAGAAACAAGTGAACTCTACTTCACTTGCCCTGTAGACAGTCAGGTTTGAAAGGGTGCTTTACTATACTTTACAAACACAGAAGTTGATATCAAAACTAATAGCAATATCGGCATAAAAAAGTTTTTTTAACACTAAAGGAAGACGCAGGTACCAAATATAGCCCCTGTTGAGATGTTAGTACAGTTCTGGCCAGGTTTGATGTAATTTCCTCATCTACCTACCCCGCCATTAGGTCAATAGTGTTAACACTACAACCAGTTAGCTATACAAAAATAAAGCGCTTCTGATCAACCACTTCCCATAGCTTATACACAATCAAAACAAATGATCTACTTGGAAATAAATTTCAATATACAGACAATCATGCTAGAGAGATATGACAATATCAAATTGATTATCTAAAGTTTAAAATGGCTTTGAAACAGAGCATCAATGTCTATAGTGAATCTCTCTTTCATGCTATTTATATTTATTATGTTATTGTTATGTTTTATTGGTTATCTGTTTTGATCAATAAGTAATTCTTTAGTTATTGTATTGGGTAGTTTTCAAAATATATCAACAATAAAAAGTTTTTGATGGCTATACATTTTTTTTTAAAGAGAAGAAAAATAATAAATAAAACAATAAACTTGTAAGATAAACATTGTGTGGCTTAGTGTGAATAATAATTGTATGCCAGTAATTGTTTAGAATGTTTAGATCTTCAAATGTGATACTAACAAAATCACGATGACAATAAAACTTAACCTTTGACCTTAATATGAAGAGAGAAATAAAAAGAATATAACGTAAGGCCAACCTGCAGATTTCCTCAGATCTGGAATCTTTAAACTTTGAAGACCCAGTAACATAGACACATTCTTTCACTGACAGCTCTTTCCTTAGGTAGTGAACCTGTTCAAATTTAATTCATTCAAATTAGTTTGAATAAAGATGGCAAAGGTTTTTTTAAATTGCATGATTCTTTTCTTGAAATAAAACAGCTTTAAGTTTTTATTCCAGACAATATTTAATTAGTGAAGCAAAAAAAATAATTATTACAGCAATATTGAGATTTGCTTCAAGGCTATCAGTCTCTAGGCAGTTCTTGGCTGTTGGGTCCAGACTTCTCTGTACTTGATTCAACACAGCCTTTTGGAACCCTGGTTTGTTAGCATTCTACAAAAAGGACAAAAGAGATTAGCACATAGATTTCATTACAAGCTAAAATACTAAAATTGACTAATAAAAGAATTATTATATTTTTTTTTTTTTATTTTTTTTTTTTTTATATTTGATCTGTTTCAATATCACTTGAGTTCAACATCGCAGAATAACATTAATACTAGGAAAATGAACATATTCACATTTTTTTTTCTTTCAATAAATCATCACGCATGATAAATGAATAATAGTTTGTAATTAAGTATTAGTCAAACATAAATTACCAGAAGCCTTTTGGTGCGAATCAACATTTTCAGCCAACAAGGAAACTTGAAGTCATCAAAGACTATAGGAAGCAGCTGTTTTCTGTGCTCACAGTAGAAGACCTGAGGTCAAAATACACAAGTTATCTCCCTTGTTTTAATCAAAAGTAGTCTTTGCAAATCTAAATTAAAGGTGTAGAACATTTTAGGTCAGTGCACAAAAGTTATCTATCTTTAAAAGCAACAATTTAAAAACTAAATAAGTAAGCTTAGTCCATTATTAGATGGCTTATTTTTTAAAACAGCTGTTTAGGAGAAATTTTTTTTTTTATTCTACAAACTATTTAGAAATTTTTTTCACCCAATGAATTCAGGTATAAAATTCCTGCATGAATCAAAAGTTTGACAGGTAACATCTAAAATATTGTATTAATTATTCTAAATAAAAACCTGTAATTGGAAGACAAACTAGACAAATGATTGAATCATTAAGAGCAAGAATGTTTACAACAGTCTCGAGACTGTAAGTAATACACTAAATCCTGACTCATATTACAGGTATGGATTTGGAATGTGCGTCAGATATTCACTAGACTTGAAACAAAGGGTTCGGAATGTGCGTCAGATATTCACTAGACTTGAAACAACAAAGGGTTCGGAATGTGCGTCAGATATTCACTAGACTTGAAACAACAAAGGGTTCGGAATGTGCGTCAGATATTCACTAGACTTGAAACAACAAAGGGTTCGGAATGTGCGTCAGATATTCACTAGACTTGAAACAACAAAGGGTTTGGAATGTGCATCAGATATTCACTATACTTGATACAACACAGCATCGGCAAACAAGACTCACCTGTTGCAGACAGAGCTTTGACTGAGTGAAGACTTTGGAGAGGACGATGATGATTAGTGTGGCCTTGTCCACAGCCTCCTGGAAGACTTTCACCTGCTCTGGTGTAATGTTGTAGATGTTGCTGTTGGCAGCGATGTTTTTAGAGGTTTCTTTCTTCAGCTCTATCAAGTCAACTGAAAATTTTTCAAGAGTAAATGTCGTGTATGAAAACTATTTTAAGCTGTAACTAATCTATGTTTAAGATTGGTTTGTAAATACACATAATTAAAGTTTGTATAGCCATGTCATTAATTAGCTATTTAGTTCAAGCATAGTCTACAAATTTAATTGATTCAGAGCTCAAATTTTCTCCTAATTACAACAGTAATTAATTATTATGCATGGTACACTAATAGAAATTAATGGTGAGGTTGAATCAAACCCCTGATCTTGAGGGGCTGTACTGATTTATAAAGAAAAATCAGGAGGTGAAAAAAATACCTAACAGTACAGTGGTAATAAAATTGACCACTAACCAACCTGACTAGTGTAGAACCCTAAACCTAACTTTTTTAAAAACACAAGTGATTACTGACCAACTAGACTAGCTTTAATCTCATTGAGTATATGAGTGTAGAACCCTAAACCTAACTTTTTTAAAAACACAAGTGATTACTGACCAACTAGACTAGCTTTAATCTCATTGAGTGTATGGGTGTAGAACCCCAAACCTAACTTTTAAAATAACAAAGCTGATTACTGACCAACTTGACTAGCCCTAATGACATCAGCAGCTCCGAGTGCTATAGGCTCTCCCTTGACAGATGACACCCATGCAGTGTGTCCCACCTCCTCTAACCAGCCTTTCAGTTGATGGCCCTATAAATAAACAATTGCTTGCTTGAATTGAAAAAACATAATAAAAAAATAAACATGTAAGTACTGATACAGCTGAGGGTAACCACAGCTCAGTGTATTTAAAAAGTTACAGCAATGAAAAGTTTTAAAGACTGAAAAATAAAACCTCCCAAAAATAAAAATAAAAACAACCCTGAAACTACAAAACTAGCCTGTTATAAAATCAAACACTGACTAGATTTAAATATAAAACCCTTGCATTTACAAAACTAGCCTGTTATAAAATCAAACACTGACTAGATTTAAAGATACAAAATAAAACCCCTTGCACTTACAAAACTAGCCTGTTATAAAATCAAACACTGACTAGATTAAAAGATAAAACCCTTGCACTTACAAAACCAGCCTGTTATAAAATCAAACACTGACTAGATTAAAAGATAAAACCCTTGCACTTACAAAACAAGCCTGTTATAAAATCAAACACTGACTAGATTAAAAGATAAAAAATAAAACCCCTGCACTTACAAAACTAGCCTGTTATAAAATCAAACACTGACTAGATTTCAAAATAAAATCCTTGCACTTACAAAACTAGCCTGTTATAAAATCAAACACTGACTAGATTTCAAAATAAAATCCTTGCACTTACAAAACTAGCCTGTTATAAAATCAAACACTGACTAGATTTCAAGATAAAACCCTTGCATTTACAAAACTAGCCTGTTATAAAATCAAACACTGACTAGATTTCAAAATAAAATCCTTGCACTTACAAAACTAGCCTGTTATAAAATCAAACACTGACTAGATTTCAAAATAAAACCCTTGCACTTACAAAACTAGCCTGTTATAAAATCAAACACTGACTAGATTTCAAAATAAAATCCTTGCACTTTCAAAACTAGCCTGTTATAAAATCAAACACTGACTAGATTTAAAGATAAAAAATAAAACCCTAGCACTTACAAAACTAGCCTGTTATAAAATCAAACACTGACTAGATTTCAAAATAAAATCCTTGCACTTACAAAACTAGCCTGTTATAAAATCAAGCACTGACTAGATTTAAAGATAAAAAATAAAACCCTTGCACTTACAAAACTAGCCTGTTATAAAATCAAACACTGACTAGATTTCAAAATAAAATCCTTGCACTTACAAAACTAGCCTGTTATAAAATCAAACACTGACTAGATTTCAAAATAAAATCCTTGCACTTACAAAACTAGCCTGTTATAAAATCAAGCACTGACTAGATTTAAAGATAAAAAATAAAACCCTTGCACTTACAAAACTAGCCTGTTATAAAATCAAACACTGACTAGATTTCAAAATAAAATCCTTGCACTTACAAAACTAGCCTGTTATAAAATCAAGCACTGACTAGATTTAAAGATAAAAAATAAAACCCTTGCACTTACAAAACTAGCCTGTTATAAAATCAAACACTGACTAGATTTAAGGATACAAAATAAAACCCTTGCACTTACAAAACTAGCCTGTTATAAAATCAAACACTGACTAGATTTAAAGATACAAAATAAAACCCTAGCACTTACAAAACAAGCCTGTTATAAAATCAAACACTGACTAGATTTAAAGATACAAAATAAAACCCTTGCACTTACAAAACTAGCCTGTTATAAAATCAAACACTGACTAGATTTCAAAATAAAATCCTTGCACTTACAAAACTAGCCTGTTATAAAATCAAACACTGACTAGATTTCAAAATAAAATCCTTGTACTTACAAAACAAGCCTGTTCAGGGTGAACACAAATAACAATCTTTGGACCAGCTGGTTCCTCTGTGTCGTGTGTACTCAACACTGGTGTGGCTGATGCTGGTAGTCGACCGGCAAATGTTTTCAATAACGTTTTCTGTAATATAAATTAAAGCAACGTTTGTAATTAACATGATGATCACAAAAACAAAAGGACATTTTATTTAAAGCATTCTTGTAAATTTAGAAAATCTGAAATACTTTCATTATTAAAATAGATCTAAGTAAAAAAGTTTATGTTACCTAAATAAAATCAAGGTTATGATATTATAGGAACTTATATCAAATATGAGTATTTTCTTGTAATCTAAATCAAATATAAGTCATGAAATAGATGCCATGCTGTAGAAGTTATAACTGATTTACAATTTCCTGACCTACAAAGTAAAGAACTACATTCTCTTACCATTCTTGTGAGCGCAGGTTTAGACATTGAGACAGCGCCTGCTTTAATATTCTTAAGACGATTTTCAATCTCTTTAGCCACACACTCAATGCACTGGGAATCCCATTGACGAATATCTTTGGCTTCTGTCTCTCTACCTGCCAGAATTTCTGGAAACAAAAGGTTCAACTTTTGAAAGCTTGAACACCACACTCACTAAGTAAATCTATGTATCACAGTACATGGCATGTTAAATATGCACAGTGCACAGATGTAAATAACATTACTAAATGTAGATCTCTCAGTAGAGTTGTAAAGAGCATTACTAAATTTAGATATCTTAGTTGAGTTGTAAAGAGCATTAATAAATTATGATAACTTAGTACAGATGAACATTGTAAATATTTAATCTATATCTAACAAATCAGATGTAAAGGCAAGAACATTTCAAGAATCAGCAAGAGCTTGATAGAAAATATTTAATGTCTGAGTGTCCCTACCACTTTCTATTTGCTGGGGGGTCTTCCAACTTATATACTGGGTAGTGGCAAATTGAATGGCCAGACATCTGGGAGGCCACTCTTCCAAGAAACTTATGGGGATAATTGGCTTGCCTAAAACATCTGCAAGTTTCACCTTGAAAAACACAAATAATGTTTACTTACTGAATACTATTTTTAAAATTTAATTTCTTTACTTAGAAAACCAGTTCTGGAAATAAACCTATAATTCTTGCAATAGCAATGTCTATTATTTTGTTACCAATAACTCTTAGTAGCAGTCACTTTACAGAAATTATTTTTAAAATTTACTTAGAAAACCAGTTCTGGATATAACTAGATCTATAAACAAAAAAACTTGCAATAAAAAGCTATAATGATTTTGTGACCAATAACTCATAGCAGCAGTCACTTTACATGCTGCATGATTAGTTGATGTACATTCAAGGACCAGAAAATGACCCAGGCATTCTAGTGTTCAATGCAGGTCACATTTTCTTAGATACCAGATGTAATTATCTCTCACCTCTCTGTTAGTCCACTGAGTTTCTCCATAGCGAGGTGTTACCAGAGGAATAAAAACACCACAATTGCTGACTGCATAGTTCAAAGAGTCTTGCCAGTCTATCCCTGACTTGATCTCATGGACATCCTAAAAAATAAGATAATATTAGATTTATAAATATTTTAAACTAACACCATTGTTAAAAAAACATTACATGAACTCAAATACAATATACAAAAAATACTAACTTATTCAAACATTCTATTTTTCTAATAATTGATTTTTAGATGTGATCAAGATTATAGTGAAGTAAATTTGATAGAAGCCAAATTGATATGATTGTTTAAATTTAAATCCTCTTGTTTATTTTAGTTGGATAAATCTGAGTTATAATAAATTTATGAAACCATCTAACTAGAAAATGTACACAACAGTTTTCTTTTAACTACCAAATATTGGTTGACATAGTAATCCAGAGTCAAACATCAAGTGCTTTAATTCTTCATTAGCACTGTGAGCTCATACAATGGTCCTATGACTAGAACTGTGACTGACCAGGTAAACAGAGAAGCCAATGTCTGTGAGCTCATACAATGGTCCTATGACTAGAACTGTGACTGGCCAGGTAAACAGAGAAGCCAATGTCTGTGAGCTCATATAACGGACCTATGACTAGACTTGCTACTGACCAGGTAAACAGAGAAGCCAATGTCTGTGAGCTTCCTCTTGAGGTTGAGAGCATGCTCTGCTGCCTCTGCCCTGACGTAGCTGATGAGCAACTGTTTGCTGTCCTGTGTGGACAGTGGCCTGGGTGCCAGGTCATCAGTGGACAGTCTGTTGATGTCCTTGCTTGATGTGAAGGAAAGCCTGAGCGCAGACAAATGAAAGCTAAATTACATTATAACCGAAGCATATTGGAAACATTTTACTGATTATATGGGATGGTAAGGTTAGATGCACAACTGCTGACCCAACATTCTTGAGTTTGTACCCCAGGCTTGAGTCCACTGGAAATACCTGAGACCACCCACCTCTGATGGGTACTTGACTCGTTAGGGAAACTTAAAGTGGATGGGCATAGTGCTGACCACACTATCCTTTCAAATGCAGAGGTAACAGAAACAGGTGAACTCTACTTTGCCTATCTCATAGTTCACCACATCTTAAAAAGTAACAACTTTGCTTACTTACTTTAATAATTATATACATTTTGTAAACTGGAATTACAATTTTTAAATTAAAGGATAAGTTGCTGCATCCCAGTTTATCTCCAATGAATTCTCCAATTTAACATGAAATTTAGCATTGGCTTCTTATTGCTTTATCCATTTTATAAATTACATCAATTGAACTCAAAAAAAAAAAATTTTGTTTTTGCAAATTATATAACACAAATTTATGAAAACAAATCTAATAAAGTTTGATAAACAGCAAGGCATATAAAAGTTGTTTTTAATTGTATTAGTACCTATAGCTAAACTGGCTCCAACAGTGACGGCATGAAAACAATGTGAACTGCTACTGTATTAACATACTAAAATAAGCTTTAGAAACATGGCGAAGTCCTAAAAAGTACCTTAATGTTTTTGTTCGAGAATGGTCAACAACATCCATTGCCTTTCTCTTCAGATGGGAACTCATATCTCCAGCATCCCAGGGCACCTGCTCCAGCAGGATGATGCGCACCTCGTGCCTCCTGAGGATCTGATGCACATCTGTTGTAGCCTCCGCATCCAGCGACACCAGGGACCCATCAGAGTGGAGGAAATGGAACTTTATGGTTGGTCCTGCTATCTCTGGGCACTGTAAAGACAATAGCGTTTGTACTATAAGTCAATTAAATGTTTTACGAGATAATTTCAATCAAATGGCAATTTCAAATCATAAATCCAATACTGCAAACAGCATCACCATTAACACATAATGTATGTAAGAATAAGCAATACAAAAGCATTATACAAATTGTAAGCAATTTATAATTAAGGTAGTGTATTTTAGTATTTGATGCAAATTATAATTTCTATCAATATTTTTTTGTAAAAAAAAAAAAGGAATGTTTTACAGCTATCAAAATTAACAGGTCAATGAATAAATTATGATGGGATTCAACTACTACATTAAACAACAGTTAAGAATGTTAATATAAGCAAAGTGTTTTAACCAACCACATGGCAGAGTCTGTAATGTCTATAAATACTCACTGCCAATATAGAGTTCAAATCTACAAGTGGAAAAAGTGCATATCTTTTAAGTCTGTTGGGTCCTTGTGGTCTTAGTGATAGTGTAAAAACTCAACAAAGGGTCAAGCTCAGCCTATTATTGACTTAAAGTTCTAGCTTTGATTTCCTCTTTGAAAATCAATATGCTTTTTACAATAAATTTATTGAAACATTCAGTTCTCATTTAATACAGATGTACTTACACTACTGGTGATAATATCTCTGAGGTCTGATATGGTAGAACAAAATGTACAAAAGATGTGGCCGTAAATTTCACTTCCATCTTGATTTCTAACAAATAACTTAGGCAAATCTGAAAGGAATCGTCATATTAATTAATAGTATATAATTCAACTTATGTAAAATTGAATTCAATTTTTTTAGCTTTAGTTTATAAGAGGTTAAAACAAAGAATTCTTATTGTGTGTGTTCAAATTTGATCTTTAAAAAAGTTAAGTTTAAAATTAATATTTAAATTCTTTCAACCTACCATGGCTGTTTCTTATCAAAATAGTATCATTAAAATCACAGATTTGTGAGCATAATATGTCTTTTTCTTGAGCATACAGAATTTCATACCTAAGAAAAATATAAAGCCTAAATTTAAAAATAATGGTGAAAGTGACGGATAGCATAATGTCTTCTAGAGTACTGTTTAACAGTAGTAAACTGAATAAAAAGCAGCAGATGTATCAGCTAGACATACTACAGACCCCTTAAATACTTATTATACTGGTAAAGAATTTGACTTATTAGTCAGTAGTGCCACTGAGCCAGTATACAGGGTAAGCTAGAAACTTAACCCATGAAGTTATATCTCTATTTAATTTGACAAACAAATGAATTTAAAGGGGCAAAAACATTGCCACTTGTTTATTTTGACATTGTAACCCTCCAGCACAATTTCATATGAAATTTCAATTTAGCTGAATAAATTGTAAATAATCTCAGAGCTATGGTGTTTTTATATGTCTGGATTATGACTCTAAATCTGGCAATGTTACTAAAATTCTTTTTAAAACTAAAAGGTGTTCCTTTTAAAAGACATTTCAAATAATATAATAATAGTATAATAGTGTATAATAGTGCAAAATACTAGTACATTATAAATTCATATTTGTTTTTTTTTGAGAAATCGGAAATAGCCTAAAACAACTTCCGGTCAACGTAAATTACTCAAAATTTGAAAGATGGCAGAGAATTACATCTTTTACTTGTATGAGAGATCTTTTACTTATATGTGAAATTGCGTTTATCTATCTGAAACACTACTTTTGAAAAACCAACAGTAGAATGATTTCCACTTCCGATTATCAAAAATAGCTAAAGAGTTGATACAGAACTACAAATTTGATATAATACTTATATATGAAATTTCATCAGCCTAGCTGTAACGGTACAAAAGTTCACAGACATATACACATACACACACGGACAAAATCGCAAAACTATGTTTTTCCTACTCAGGGAGGTGTAAAATGTCGAGATTTATGAAAATCTCAATTTCGATTTTTGCACGATTACAATACTTCCTCTATACTTCGTATACAAGAAAGTAATAATTTAGATTTACACAAAAACATCCCAAAAATCTTCATGTCACATCATTATACAAGGCAAATTAAGAAATGGGAGTTAAAGATGGATAACATACATGCTGATTCCTATCCAAACAAGACATAGATTTTCTAATTCTCCTATTTCCGACTTAATACTTTAATATATAAAAATGTTGCTACTGTTAGTATGAGCAGTAAAAATAAACATGTACATTATACAACAGTACCTTGATTTAGAAAAGAAGATGAACCTCTGTGGTAAAACCTGACTGAGTTGATGCCTCAGGATTATCCTTAAGGATGGCAGCCTCATGTCCTGCCATGACTGAACAGGGACTGTTATGATGCCCAGTCTTGTGTCATCAGAGGGTGAAGTCCCCTCATGAATGAGACTCACATTTATTATTTCAACCGCTGAAAAATGAAAAAAAAATGCATCAGTTTTATTTAAAATGAAATATCACAGGTAAAATATGTGAAAATGAAAAATTAAGCATTTAGCATGATACTTTTGTGTTTTAAATATTAAATATTGAACATTAAATTTATTTCAAGTTTGGCAAAAACACAGTTTTTAGTTTCCATTTTAAATTACATCTAAAAATAGTAATGTAACGAGTGCAATTAACTAAGTTTTGAAAATTATTTATTAATACAGGCCTACATAACTTATGTATTAAATGCCATCTTATTATCTATATAAGTTAAGCTAGATTATAAATATATATGGTAACTTTAGGAGGCCAAAACAACAACAAAGTTTTAAAGAAAAGCAACTTCATTAAATGTAAATGAACATGACTAGATCATGAATATACTTTCAGTGAGTAGGCTCACTACTCCTACAAAGGGTTGTCTAGTTATGAAGTACAAACAGAGGGGGGGGGGGGGGGGGAACTGTATAGATCTATATGATATTGACTTTTGTAAACTCAGTTGAAAGGGTGGGTCATTTGTCCTTAGGTCTATATTATTAATATTTACTATTTAGATCTATAGTATTCTATAGACATCCAGACCTTTATTTATACATTTCTAATGCTTACCTAGACAACACATAAAGTAGCTATATATACTTTAGTTTATAACTTTATAGTTTATACTAAACAGTAACTTAGTAACACTTAGCCCAGTTAAATAAAAAAAAAGTGATTAAAAATCATTTGATTTAGTTAGGGCCTAACATACAAAACTTTAATTTTTTAAAAATTAAACTAGAATCTAGAGGTCTAGAACTACACATTTTCAAAGAGTTATAATATCTAGATCTATTCTATTTCTATCACTAGTCTAGCTAGTCTATCATCACTACTCTTCCACAAACCGAAATGCCTCCCTACATCAAAATTGAAAAATTATTCTACAAGTAAAAAAATTATGAATACACGTTTAATAATAGATCTAAATCAAAAGAAAGTTACTTTTATGCCTTCTTTGGATTGTTGAATGATTGTTTCCCATTGCGGATAAGGATTCTGCACTGGTACTGGAACCCTGACGCTGCTGACTGCGACTGTCAATCTGTGCGTATTGAACTGAGGACTTTTCTAAATCGAAAGACTTTACATTTCGGTGAATCATCATAATCAAAGTCCCTTTATTCCTTCATTCGAAAATATATTAACATATCTTTCTTCATTCAAATGTACCATGTCTACTTCAAATGTAACAGTGCATAACTTCAGAAGTAGATAGATCTATCAGGTACAATGTTGTTTCCGACTTTTCCATTATCTATCGCCATGTTGTTTACAATGTTTCTAAAAACTATAAATCAGGTGCACAGAACAAAAAAAAAAGTAATAGGCTAGGTTAACGCCTTAATCGTGCTCATGAATGACGGAAGAAACGAATCCGATTTCGGAACACGTCACTGTTGCTTAAATTATTATTTAGCCTAATTATCTGTGACAGTTATACTAGCCTTTACAACTTAGGCTATACAACTGATTGTAGTAATCTAACACACACCACGGCCTAATAAATTATAGTATAGGGGTCTACATAAAAAAGGGGTTTGACAAATAATGAGCCAAGACATGGATTATGAGCCCATTCTATATTATATGGGCCAATGTATTATATAGGAGGGGATATAACCTATATTAGTATATAGGCTATATATAGGCTATATAGATATAGATATCTAGGCATATATATGCTTATATAATATAAATGATCATTGTTACGCATATCGACCTTCATACCTATTTGGCTAAAATATACTATCTAGTTTCACTGCTCCTAGATTTTTAGGCATTATTATTACAGTAGTAGTTTCAGTTTATCCGCGCGTTCGAAATAAGAGTTTCTTTCAAATTTTTTCTCTCCGAAGGGGAGCAGTGTTTCTTCCAGGCATCTCTTCGAGGTGACCCCCGCTCCCCCCGTAGAAAATCTACCGCCCCCTCCCGAACGAAATAGAATTTATATAGAAAATATATACTTTTAACAGTGTCTGCCCCCCCCCCCCCCCCCCCAGAAAATTTCAAGTGCCCCCCGGGTGAAAAATGTCTGGTGGAAGAAAGACAGGAGGGGTGGGGGCACTTGATGTTTTCGGGGGGGGGGGGGGGGGGGAGGAGGAGGTGGGGGTGGGGCGGACACTGGTAAAAGTATTTATTTTCTAAATAAATTCCATTTCGTTCGAGGGGGCGGTAGACTTTCTGCGGGGGAGATGCCTGGAATAAACTCTGTCCAAAATGCATAGCCCAATCTTTGTAGGTAACAGGCCTATTATTACTTCATTAGACTTCACGTTTATAGCGACTATGTTAACAGTCGTTACCACCTTCTAAAGGAGAGTCAAACCAGTGGCGTAGCGAGGTCGGGTGTCACCCGGTGCGGCACTTAATGGTGTCACCCCCAGAGGCGTAGCGATCCTTCCTGGGGACAAACTTTCAAGTTTTCGATTTGCACCCCCCCCCCTTCAAACTTTTGATTTGCGCCCCCTCAAGTTTTTGATTTGCACACCCCTCAAACTTTCGATTTGCACCCCTCCTCAAGTTTTTCTCTATATATTTTGCTATTTTTTGCCTTGGTGTCACCCCCCTAAATGATGTCACCCGGTGCGGTCAGCACCCCCCCTCGCTACGCCCCTGAGTCAAACATTTATTGTTTGAGTTTTGGCCTAGCAGGTCAGGGTGGGGGATTAACTGTAGAGTTATTCTTAATTTCTATGATGTTGTGGGTGCTGTAGTGTATGCCGAATGAGGGGGGGGGGGGATAATTCCATTTTTGACATTGATCAACGTTTAGACTATTTGAAGCGTCACATATCGCAACAGAAAGCCAGACCAGTGATTTGTTTATAAAAAAAATCATGCAATTTCTCCCACAGCCCCAACTCTTTCCGAAAATAACATTTGTAACCTGTTTCTTATCAGTGTTTTTTCCTTATTATATAGGGCCTATAATATAGCCTATAATTAAATATAACACAGAACCTGTATACATACATGATGGAAACATGCAAGAATACACAACTAATGTTATAAACAAAATGCTGTTAGGGTAAGATTGGGGAGGGGGAGGGAAGGGGTTCATGCAAATCGAAAGTTTGAGGGGGGGGGGGGGTGCAAATCGAAAATTGAAAGTTTGTTCCCGGGAAGAGTCGCAACGCCTCTGGGGGGGGGGGGGGTGACATCATTAAGTGCCGCACCGGGTGACACCCGACCTCGCTACGCCACTGGGCTGAGGGAAGATAAGCATAGGATTGAACCCCTCATTACCCCACTGTTTGTTGTAATAGACCTAGACATTAGAGATTTTCCTTAAGTTTTTTGGGGGGTTGCTTATGACATTTATTTAGGCTAAATAAAGACAAATTTGTATTTAAAAACTAATAAAAATAAGTAAAAAAAGAAAATTAAATGTATGCTGCAATAAAACCCGAAGCCCCTCCCACTTCCCAACGTCACACATCAAACCACAGACGCACATCCTAAAATAGATTCCTGACGTCATTCACGACCGACCCCATTTGAAAGTGTCCCCAAAAATAGAGTAATAAGTTTGACCAAAATGGATATTTTTAAAACTCAAAATTAGTGTCCGTTTAATAAAGATGGATGGTAGGATTAGTGTCATCGGGTCACCAGCAGACAAGCAGTTGGCAAGTAGGTTGTCGCCGGGGGATTTTTGATTGAATTAGTAGACCTATGACGGATTTTTAACGTGTGTACGGGTATATAAATTTGTCACTTTAAAAAGGTAGAAAAAACGTAGAAATAGGGACCTTATAGCTGTACACCACGCTTTAATCTAAACTCATACGTGTGAGCTCAAATGTATCTACAAATGAACCTCCTTTACACGCATTCTAGGGAGACTGTTAGGCCTACAGGGAATTCATTTTACGTAGTTATTTAATGGGCGTAATTGTTTGAATAGGTGTATCTTAACTACAGGTGACCGTCTAAGAAACTTGGACCTATAGGCATACAATGACGTATAGGCTGGGTGCGGTAGGCCTTATAAAGAAAAAAAAAGTTGCGAAACACCATATAAAAATGTAACTTTATTCTCTAATCTTTAAAGGGCAATAGTGTTTATAAGTATATGTCTTCTAAAACCCATAACTTTTGAGGTTTCCCGAAACCTCCCCCCCCCCCCCCTCTGAGCTTCCTCACCCTACATGTATATATATATATATATATATATATATATATATATATATATATATATATATATATATATATATATATATATATATATATATATATATATATATATGTGTATATATATATATATATATATATATATATATATATATATATATATATATATATATATATATATAAAACGGTCAAAGCCCGAAGTCGGCCAATGCGCGCATTGGCCAATGTCGCCTCCCATTGACCGGTCAAAGTTCGAAACTTCTTGATTTCGTCCTTTGGCCGGCCAATCCGCGGACTGGCCATCGTGGACCGGCCAAAGTCTGAATTAGAAGATCATGAGCAGATTTTTTTTATACCGTAAGGATCATGAAATTAAGTCATTATTGATTATTCGTTAAAGTACTTTATTCTCAATCAATCAATATTATCACTTGTTACAACAAGTTGAACTTTTATGGCATTTAGAATTACATAGTAGCTAGTTATTTTTACACTTGCAGCGATTTGTTGTGCACTTGGTTGTGCATTTGCAGCGAGTATAGCCTTGTCCGCCGGTCAATGATTGTGAAGATGCGATGGTTCGTAGTGACTTTTCCTAAGTGCCAACTGACGACAATAAGAGCAGTTTTTCGTGAATAATTGAAAACTCACTTCTAGCATACAGTTGTTTTAGAACACCATGTTCCGTTCCTAACTTGTAGAAAGCGCCCTCGATGCTCATGCCAACTGCATTGACGCTTCAGGGATCGCCGTAACCTCTGTCAACATCTGGTATACGGATGCGTACATTGTCACCCACTTCAGCTTGTTTAAATCTTGTATTTGATGTTTTAAGCAATTTAAGCATCTTAGCACCTTGAGTTTGCAAGCTAATATGAGATGCTGACCTGTTGTCCATGGTTTCTTGTTTATTGTGACACAATCTGCAAGTAATATTTCCTCCTTACCCTTCGTCTGCGTCATTGGGTATTCCGCAAATAGCATGGACATCGTTGCCACAGGATCGACAAGAATGGGCTGCACTACAATGTTTTTCACAAACTATACAGAATCTGTTGGTCACATAATTGTCACGCAACTGGTCTGGACGTTCCGCCACGGCAGCAGATGTGTTAGCTGCATTTATGGCAACCTCCATTTCTTGTTCAATGTTCTCGAGATCTTCATCAGCAACTAAATTATCGAGAGCCTCCCTTGGTGGATTTGAAGTGCAAGTGCCACGTTTGCGTTGCATCCAAACAAGGCTTCGTATTGCGATTGTTGGATTCCTTAATGAAAATAATGATTTTTCATAAATTAAATGAATTTGAGACTCTCAGCCCAATGAGGTGATTCATTTGCTTGCATCCATGTCATCATCATGTATTGAACATCGACTGGACATTGGCTTGGCTATGCCTTGGTTTTCCGACTATCTTTAATTTTGTTCTTTGATGATTGTCTCACCTCGTCATCATGGAGGAGGCTGTCACATACAGTTGTAGCCGATATATGGAAACTAACATGGATTTACAGTTTTTCTTTTGACAACCATCTGCTATGTCTGTCTCATGGTCTCACGGCTCTTTTGGTCCATGTCGGCTTGTATATAGAATGCTATATAACAAGAGCTAAACAATGCGTTACTCACAATGAAATCACAACCAGAATAATGAAAACGCCATCACAACTTAGTCTAGATAGAACATTGGCAAGGACACCCCGGCCTGTGTGCGCATTTGCCGGCCAATGTACAAAATACGCAGTCAAGTTTAAGCGCTTCGGACGTTGACCAGTACGTCCCGGCCAGTGCGCGCATTGGCCGGCCAATATACGAAATACGCTCTTAGTGCCTCAGACATGTAATTTACAGCTTCAGTTTGCCTTGCATGTTCGCTTTAGTATTACAGTTTTCATCATCGGCTTATGAGGACTGATACAGATTTACAATATAGCAATACTTCTTTCTTACATGTAGCCTTCTTTCATTCATTTAAGATGGTATGCTTATACATACATCTAATACAAAACGTCAAATGGCAGCATGGAGAAAGAAATTGCCACCAGAATAGCAATGGCAGCACAAGCTTTCAACAGACTCGCTAAGATCTGGAAATCATCCTCACTGCAGCAGAGAACTAAAATAAGGATCTAT